AACAATAATCAAAACCGTAAAAAATACACCCCAGGCAGGAGAATAATATTCAAGAGGTACAGATACAGATATGAATAGTCATTACAGTGGTAAACAGTATTAGTGCAACTTAGCCCATTAAAGATCATAAGCAAAATATTTTATTTTACATGCACATTTTCATTTGTAAAAGCACTGATGTTAAAAAAAGGGCTGGGTCAGAAACCCTTGGTTACAAATGTTCAGCCATCCTTTCAATTTTCTGCCACAAGATATTACTAGCAACCATTACAGTTACACAGCTCTCAACTGAGCACAGTGGTTACAAAACAAATCACCACTGACATCCTTTATATCTGCAAGCAAGAGTTTCTTGCTTGTACATCAATGACATAACCTCTTTAAATTGTCAAGATTACTTCACACAGTGAGGAATTGTTGCAAATGCAAACATTTCTTTAGCTCTCCAAATTCCCATAACACAAAACAATATTCAATCACTGTAGCAGTTACTCTGGATCGTGGACGAGTGGCTTACCAACATTAGTGTTTGTCAGTGCAGTGGAAGAAGATTGTAATGGACTACATTAAACTTGCTGCTCGTTTCTTATTCTGTAGAAGCTACAGTGTCTCTTAGGGATAAAAAGTTACTTTTAGTCATAAGGCTTCAACCTTGACAGCGACTGTGTAGAAGACAAAAACGTTTGCAGTTCATTGGCGTGGATATTGTGCAAATTTGATTGAAAAAAGTTTTCAAAAAAGCATTTCCACATGCAGTTCAATATGAAATCCCTCAGACATGTCATCCTACCAGCACAAACAAAAAATGCTGAATATAAAATTGATTTGTCCTGTTCTATTAAAAATGTTTTCTTTAAGGGGTGCAGTTAAGCGTGTTTGGCAATGTGATGCTGTAAAGCAGTGTTTAGTAGCATAGAACGTTTGAAGAAGGAAAATTAGACACCAGAGGATTCATTCTCTAAATGAAGGTCACCTCCACATATTATAGGTGCACCAGATGCAACCAATTTTAAACAGGAAAACTTATGCACCTATCTCCTTTTGAGAATCTATATCAGATTACTCAACATTTCTTCTGATGTTTATGTACATGTTTCAAAATGTTATTAAAACCCAATTATAATAACAACTTTTTTATAGCACCTTATACGTAATGTCTCAAAGCGCTTTGTTACATTAATTGATTAGAAATGGAAATAAATGTTATATTGGGAAAANCACACAACCGATTTGTGCCAATTTCTGCTATACTCTCTCAATCCTGTTTTGAACACAAATGGGTAATGTTTGGAATCCCTTTGTGCATTAGTGAATCTCATGTAGGATTCCATCTGCAACAGTTCTGGATATGAGGAACGAGGTTCGATGAAACCTTTTCACAGAGAGAGTTAGAATAAGGAATATTTTGCCACAAGTGCCTTTTGAGACTGATACCACAAGAACACTGGAAAGGAAACTGATAAACAGTTGAAAAGGAAGAATGTAACAAGCTGAGGGGAAACATCAGTGAATTAGCATAAGAATGTTGTTGCAGGTGGAGGAGATAGCTAACGCTGGATTTCCGAATTATTATGATTCTATGAGGAGCAGAAGGATGAATTGCCTTTTGCAGAGAAGAACATCATGTGAACAGTGAAGACTCTCACTCTTGTCTAAATATCCATTACTTGTTGCTTTTGCAGTAACCTTTTCTCAGGAGGTAGCAGGACTCACCAAGCTCTTTCTCCCTGCTCACTCAAGAGGAAAAATGCAGTGTGTGTTGTGATAACTATCACAAGAATTCTTTTTGTGTGTAGTGTTGTTAACATCAGATTTGGGGCCACTCATGCCTCTCCCTCAGCATTTGGACAATGGTATCTCCACTAAGGCCATTTAGAACTGATTGTTCCCCATGTTTAGCCCACAAAACACACAGTCACTACACTTTACAGTGTATCCTGTGAAGCGCTTTGAGATATCGCATGGACATGATAAGGCACTATCTCAAATGGAAGGATTATTATTATGTTTGATTTTAATTTAATGAGTGAATTTTGCTTTGCTTTCTAGTCGCTAGAAAAGATTTTTATTTTAAAATTATTTTTAGGTCATCATCTAGCAAAGGAGCATAAAATCATCACTTCCGATTCAAGATACAATATTCCCCAAGATTTTGGCAATCTGATGCTCTGATGATCTTATAAATTTCCATAGAATCCTTTCTTTGTAAGATCTGTACCTTTGTAAGAGGAAGTCTAACCTTTTCAGACTTCTCTCATAAACCATGTGTGATAATTCTCTAGATTATTATCGACAGTCACATACAAAGCTGCAGAGTGATAGTGTTTCACACGATTTTCAACCAGACTGGCTGGTGCTGAGGTGAAGCCACCTTAAGAGGCAGAAACTGTTCGATGTGTTCTCTGACAGGTGTGAAAATGGGTATCCTTAAATAAATTGGACAATCCGACTATGGTGTCTGTGATTTAAAAACAAAACAAAATTGTCTTCTTATGTAAAGGATTGAGCATTTTGTCTATTTTCAGTCCTTGGAAATGGACAGAGGGTTTAATCATTTTAAGAAGACCACATTGGAATGATTGAATACAAGTTTTATGTTCTGTTCCACCTTTCTCCCCTTATAGACCCCTCTTCTGAAAGCAGCCATTTAGGGTGAGGTACAGGTTCACAGGCTGTAGTCACCTTTCAATACCTTGTCTAGGTGGCTGTTCTTTTTCTCTGAACCTGGACTATCAGTGCTAACAAGCTACCTGAACATAACAATGATAATCAATCCCTGCGTTCAATATAGTGACAATCATCCCAAAGCACTTGATTGCTTTTACTATTAAGTGTAGTGACTGTTCATATAAACTGAACCATGGAGCAGGATTCAATGTGAACAGTTGTGGCGCTCACATTACCACTGTATTTTGGTTGCAAGTTTGGATCATGTTGAAGTCTCTGGTGCCTCCACCCAGCCCCTGCTAGCAGAATGTTTTGAAACAATTTCTACTGGGAAAAGAGAAACAGAAAATAGCAGAAATCTATGATTTAGCACAGCATGGTGGAGCCAACTGTTGACAATGAGAGAACAAGATGTGGCACTCTGACAGCAAGTGTGTATTTCAGGAATAATATTTTGAGACTGAAAAATTGATTATTTTGTGACTAGATGTCTGGTACAGTATGTGGAGGAAACCTGAATTAAGGAAAACCCAATTCATAAAACGGCAGTGTAAGCAAATAGTATTGAGGTTTGAAGTCTTGAAATGGTTAGTTTAGTTTGCACATAACCTTTGAATGACTAACAATTTTCTGTCCAACATTCATTCAGATTCAGTTCCTCTATCCTTTTATACACCTTTCTGACCATCAATAGAGCAGCAGAATCCCTTAAAATAGATTGTTGCAGCTCAATGGCATACTTTACATGTTTGAGTACTACACAATCAAGCTTTGTGAAAACATCAATATCATAATAACAATTTGTTATTCCTGTTGTAAATATTGCCCACTCCACAGGTTGGTTAACAAAGACCGCTCAAAGAATGGTAATTGGAGAGTTTAGTCCTCGAGCAAGTATTGCAAAATGACCTTATTGTACAATTTGCAGATATGTAAACCATCAACATTCTACATTTTGTTCATAACAAATTTTGCAAAATTTAAGGAAAAATTATTACAGTAATATTTTTTTTCTAAGACACAACAAACACAATAAAATTAGAAAAAGGTGTTTTCAACAGGAATATTTAAAATCTCCTAAAATATTCTAACAGTGGACTGTTCAAGTCTGCAAAAACAAAACCAGTCTTCCTTGCCTTTTTTTTCTCGACACCATTTCTATTCTGTTGTCTTAATCTTCTGCTAATTTCGCTCAGCAAAATTCTACAAGTAGTAATCCTTAAATCCTTGTTGTTATTTAGTGTGAAGGGAGGGAAAGAATAAATGGTTCATATTTTTTTCATGGCAATTTGTGCTGGCAAGTTCTGTCAATAGCTGCAATAACTGCTTTCAATACATGTTAAACTCTCAAAAGCATAATACCAGCAAACCTATATTAAAAGAATACAACAGTCAAGTAGATCCTCTTGTTAAACACTACCCTAACGTAAACCTCTTATTGTTGAAGAACCAAATATCAATTAAATTATTCTCAAACGGTCAACACACAATTCTCTGAAGCATATGGCACAACTCTACTATTTCACACAAACAAGTCCTTGCCAGAGAATAGGCTCATGCAAAATATAACACAGAAGAACAGAATCACCCCGTCATTAACAAACACTTCAGTAGTAATCAGTTACACTCTATTAAACAAATATAAAAGTTGTTCAAGTGTTTAAAAAAGCATTAGGCATATGTCATGCAATCGTAAAAAGAGTTCAGGCAGGCACACCATGCGGCATATTCTGCATGCATGCTACACAGCATGTATTCCCTACGTAATTTGAATTAGACTCCTTGGCCATCGAATGATATGTTTTGCAGACCTTATTTACCTCAGAGATCAATAAAACACTGATAATGGGTCCACTCCAAATATTATATAGGACAATCAATTCTGCCTTCCATAGCAGTAAAGGCAATGATCTGCATTAAATTGATATGTGGTTGCAATAAAAACCAACCGTTTCGGTTCCATGGCCTTTGCTGGAGGGAAGTCCTGAAATATATTTGCACCTGTATTTACCATATGCAGCATTCGTATTTCCAGGATGATGCAGTTCAGTGTAAACTATGCTTAACCGATGTAAACCATGTTTGGACTTGTCACATAAGCACAATCTAAAATGGCTTTTAAGGGTTAACTGCATTGGCACAAAACCCTCTGTAAAACTCAGACAGCTGAATGTAAAAAACATTGACCGAAGCAAACACCTGAACATTACCCTGCGACGATGCCCAAGTTATAAATCTTGCAGGGACCAAATCCTGCAGAGTCGTACATTTCCCAGACTTCCTGGGAATTTCCAACAGTGCTCCTCTTATACTCCGAGATAGCACCAGTACAACTATACTTCACTCATGGAAGTATTTTTGCCGAGTTCCTTAATTCCCTGGAGAATTCGTTTCATGTGGCCCACTTTCGTTATCCCCAGATCCTGTAGTAGGAGAGAACATACATTTTTATGTTAGTTACATTGAAGGTTATTTATTTCCTCGCTCAGTTGTTTAATACATATGTTATGCACTAACGGAATGCCAAGCAGAAAGCAAGCATTGTGTGCACTCACTGCGCTAATCACTTTTAGACATCATGAACTGGTTTATGCATTTCTTGCTTATAAACACTAAGTGAAAATTACGCATTGCTGAAAATTGTGGTTGTATCAGTTGACTTTTACTATCACCGAGGTGCGATTCCCTAGAGTTCGGCACAATGGTTTGGATACAAAGCCATGCATTTTGAATGCTGTCAAAAAACATTCAACGATGATCATCACATCACAGCTTGCAATTTTCACCTGTCTGTTACAATGATCTACTTTCTGCTCTTCCCACCTTTTCTTCAAAATATATTTTATCCACCCCATAAAATGGGCAGTCACCCAAGAGAAGACCTTCAAACCTACTTGAGGGCTACAGAGAACTGGCAGCAGAACTTTCAGATACTGTCCACACCTGAGCTGCAGGTAATTGTTCATTCTTTGCATTTCAGACGAGAGGATTTGTAGCTTTGATAACAATGGGGTCTAACTTGTGATATGTACAAAACAGCAAACTGCGATTTCTGAAAACCACCAAAGTGCAAAAAAGGTTGTAGTGTTGCTCTCTGGCTCTTTTTTGTAACTTTTGGAAATGATAAATATTTTTATTTATATATTATTGTTGTATTTTGAAACTTAGTTGTTTTGCAAAGATCACAATGTTGCAGTAGTGTTTAAGTTGCAATATTTGCAAATAAAGACAGGAAGTTCTCAGCACAATATTTTGCAAATATGGTAACTAAATTTAACATTGTACAATATTGGCCTTAAATTGCTCTAATATGAGCAATGTTCAAGTGACAATCACGCTGACAATTCGCAGAGTTCTTACTTGAAAGTCCTGGTGTTTTCTGAGTATTTTGCTTAGCCCTTTTATGATGCGTTGTTGTCATATATTTTACATGATCAGAACAACAAAACACGAATGCTGGTTTGTCAGCTATGAGGATTAGCAGATGATGATGGAAGAGACATCCAGAGGTGAGACTAATTTCACTGCTGGCACTGTAAAGTCAGCTGCCTTTTTCTCACTTTTGTTTAGCCCACGTTGGAAGGAGTGACCTTGCCATCAGGTCAGTCATGTAAATGCAGCATTAGTTAGTGGAAAACAATCTTAACTGGTATGTGAATATTCTCATCAGTTCAGTCCTGCCTCTGTGGATTTTGCATCTGCAAGTGTAATATCACTAATTTGTTTGTTAATGCTTGACATGAGTGAAAACTGTGGTTAAAAACTATAAAGTTTTCCACCAACAAATTACTTTTCTAACTGAAACTTGTGCAGATAAAGGGCTCAGAGTTCTTGCATAAAGAAATACTTAGACATCTGCAAGAAATAAGAAAAGGCTCAGATGATAGAAGCAAGATGACCTTAAGAAATGGGCGTTTTCCATTCGGTTGGACTCAAAGCTCAAAAGCAAGTATCTCATCCACTGAGTAATACATTAACCTCTTGAGAATCTGTTTCTTGTTTTCCAGTTCAATGTAAGTGCAGTATTCTGCCTACAATGAGGCTTCTCACTTACCCTAAATAAAATGGTAGTTATATTGTCTGAAAACTACTGGTCAAGTAGTGATATTTGAGAGACTCCCGCTTCCAGTAAGCACATTCAAGACATACAGACACAGGAGCAAATTACTGTAAGTAATAACTTAGATCACACAGCTTTGCAAGGGAAAGCTACCATAAGAGAGAGCAGAGTTGCAAACTATTAGGGACAAATGAATGAGAGAATTCACCTATAAAATCTACCACTGAGCAAAAGCATGATCATAATGATTCCCCCACCCACCCCGCAAACTATTACATGGGGTTTCCAATTAGATGTTTAATATGGGGTTTCTCCCAGGGTAGTTTAGTCAGACTCTTTCTACACAGACAAACAGACCCGATCTTTGTTGTGGAAGGAAATTAAAATCTCAAAGTGTAATGGCCGGTGGAGAAGATCATTAAATCCAAGATGAACGCCTCTCTACAATCAGAATAAGGCTCCAGTTATTAGAACACACACAGATTATCATCTGGGATTTAGTACAACCGAATACCATACCAATACCTGGCATGGAAGGAAAGAGAGATTAACTCTTTTCCTGCTCCCAAAATGAATATTCCTTCTGCTCTTCTTCCAAAAAGTTACAGATGTCATCGTGGATCTCTGAATAGTTTTCCTTCCTTTATCTGAACTGTGCAGTCTTGAAGGCCCAGTGGTGATGAGAAACTAGTCTTCTGGTAGGAGTGGGGTGGTGGAAGCAATGATAATTGTGGCATATTCCTCAAAAACCTGTATAAGCAGTAATTTCCTCAGAGATAATTCATGGTTTCAAAGAAATCCTCTGGCCCTGAAGAGTTGCTGTAATGGGAAGGTAATTGGATTGGTATTCAGGAAGGTCGAGATTGGATGATCTTCTTTCATCTGACCTTCTCTTTGTGATGGACATGTTTCAGGACTTTGGGCTAGTTCTCCACAGGAAACAGATGATTTCAAGGCGATGTAAAAGAAATGTTCAAGATTATGATTGATAAAGTTGATTCAAGCAAGTGGTTTGGTAAAGGTCTTCAAGTACCAGGTGCAACAGTTAAACATCAGAAAGTTATGAGTCAGGCAAAATTTTTAATGTCTGACAAAGTTTCCAACTTGAACTGGGCTGTGTAAAATCATCTATAAAGAAAAATCTGCAGCACACAACAACTGCCGTGCAAGCAAAAACAAGTTGTTTTTACTGGTTTCACTTACAATTATTTCAGGAATTGAACTCTAATTATGGTCAAGAAACAAGGACAACACAGAGACATGGATTCAAGCTCAGAAGAGAGAAGGTGACCAACAGTCCAGCTTTAATTATTTCATACAGAGAGCGGTGAATCTGTGGAAAAGACTACATAGGGAAGCAGTTGAGACACATTGTGTCAGAAAATTCAAGAAGGAATTTGATAGCTAATTGGCAAATAAATAAATTATATCTATCATTATTCATTTGACTTTGGAACATGCCAGATCGGCTACTATAGTCTTTCCTGGGGCTGCACATACCTTTTTATGTTCTTGCCCCACTCCCAGATTTTTAGATATTGTAATTGCAATATTTCTTTCATAATACAATCATCTCAATCTGCATTTCTGCATTAGACAAGAATATTCTCATGGAAGGTTATTTGTATTAAACCACAGTAAAACATGTGGCAAAGTGGGACTTTTGTACAACATTCCCCAGGAGATCTGATCAATGCTGTCAATTTAATGCACATTAAGATCAGTTGCATTATGCTAAAAGAAGCATGCTAGTGCCAACGCAATAAGTATTTCAGAGAAAGCTTTAAATGTGAAATAGTGGTAAAAATGAACATTGTGGCACAAAGCATCACAAATAATTTTTAATCATGCCGTGTCTCTACCAATTTGATCTGGTCATTAGCAAAACTGTAGATCACATTTATATTTTTATTTTCCTGCATTAATTGATAAGTATTAAAACACGATTTGCACAGTTTGACAGCTCTGATGTATGAAGAAGATCAATGAAATTGTTCCCAATTAATCAAGGACTCTGTCTTGACCCTGTACAACAAAAGGTTGTGTTTCAAGCAGTAGCTAATCTTAAGAGTTTCTTGTTACTGAACTACACTCTGTCTGATGTAATATGTTGTGGTAAAAGCCTGAGAAAACATTTGACAATTCACTAATGCAGTGGTTCTCGCTTATGTTTGCAACTTCACAGTTGTAGGCTTGAATTCAGCACCTGCCTACAAATCCACCTACAGGAGTGGAGATAAATTTCATGAGACTAAAATGTGCTGTTAAATAGAATCTCCCAATACAGAGGAGCTTGCAAAAAATTCATTTTCTTTGCCACTTGGCTGATCAAAAGAGATATTAGAGGAGATGAGGCAGGCAACCATTCTCTTCTTTGCTGACTGAGACTATGGTGTTGTTGTGTAAGAAACTATTCAAAGGCCGAAGAGATTAATGAACTAAATTGCACAAAGGAACTGGAAGTTGCAGTAGGTTAGTGTATCTTTCGGAGACCCATTTCAAACCCAGCCTAGAATGTTGGAATGACAATCTCTTTACTAGTCTCTGCATTTTTGCATCAGGCCGATTGCTTAGAAAGACAAAATAGCAATCTCACTCAAAGAGGCTTCACTGATGGCTGGTGTAGGAAATAGGGATGTGAGACAGATCCAACTTGTGTTTTCTAAGTTTGAGGTTATGGCACATCGTTGTGGCAGAGCGAAGAAAGCTTAACTCTTTACCTAACTCTTTCTACATCTAAAGCTGTGTGAAACTGCTCAAGGCTGACATTGAATAGATAGCTGTTCAAATGGTTCATTGCCAACCAATTAACGTAAAGCCCCAACCCCCAATAAGATGTTTTTGTGATTTTTGTAAATCCTCTATTGTGATTGTGGGAATTCGTAAGATCATATCTGTTTTGAACATGTGTTTCTCTGACAAGCCATCTGGTGAAGCTTAATATCCTCACAATCGTCTCCAAATACTGGGATCGGGTGGAGACAGACCAGTCTGGGGAGATTCAAAAAACAAGAGGAAAAAACGTGGAAAAGAACAAACAACAAACTGAAGAACTGAAATAAATGTACAATATATATTTAACCACTTTTTTCTTCTTCTACAAAGTCTGTTACTTCTCTCCTCTATGACAGTAGGTTACATTCCCACATGCTGTTTCATATATCCCAGAAGTGTATGATCCACAAAATACTTGCATAGCTGAATGCATCTCTATCTGCATGCATACGTTTCAGACGCTTAAGACACACACGCACACACATACCCAACATAAGCTATTCTCATCTTTGGTAGGTATTAATTTTGCAGAAATGACTGCAAATTAAAAGCGAAGCTTGCAGCACAGCAGAGAACAGACAGAAAAGGCACATATGGGAGGAAAGAAAGTAGCATAAAGATCTTTAAAGGAAGTACCTTCAGATCACGCCTTTCCAGGTGCAAAAGCTCAGAACCTCGGATGTCATGGCGAATGAAGATTTCTTTGTACTCTCCCAAGCTGAGCAGCTCCAGCCAAGAAGCAACTTCATCTGTGCCCCATTTTTGAACTACCAAAGTTAAGAGCAAAAGCCCCTTAATTCCTTCATGCTTCACAAGCAAAAGTTAAGCAAGAGAGAGGAAAAGAGCAGAGGAGCTAGCAGTGCTGGCAAAGAGGGTGAGGACAATAACATTTCCATTAATCTAGGCTGTTACCATAAAGATTTCCATGCAGACAACTGTTATTGTATTAACCCTTTAAGCACTGAATTTCCTTGCATCTCTCAGGACATGAACAAGTTTGATAATACGGAAGACCAAGTCTGTAAGACTAACTTACAGTTCAACACACCAGCAGCGCATTATATTTAAATACAAGGGGTTTCACAACATAAGGATGAAGCAATGAGAGTGGAAAAATGCTGCAACTGCTTTGTATACCAAGAATATTTGACATCTGTATCCAATGTTGACAACAACTTCAATGACCGTTTCAATGTGTTCCTATATATGATGTGCAGAGCTGTGAACCTGTTCTTTTTCTCCAGAGGAACCTCTGGCTAGATCGACTTATTATGAATAATTTGTTGCATTGACCACAGGACACTCACATCCTGACACAGAGGGGTGGCTCTTTGCTGCCACACAACACTCATTGAGTGGTATCACACATAGTGCAAAGGCGCATTGCCATTATAACTATATTTATTGTTTCTGCGACATTGTCCCTCCACTTGTGTTCATTTAACCAAAGATTTTTCTATGACTGAGAAATATAATTGATAAATGCAATGGGTATCTAACCCAGTTTTTACATTCAGTGATTGATGTGAAATCTCAAAGCAGTTCAAGTAACTGAAATATTATCTCTGATACAAATCAAAGATGGGATCAAAGCCCAGAATCATAGAAATTTACAGCAAAGAAAGCAGCAATTTGGCCCATCATATTTGTGCTGTTCCTTGTAAGATCTATGTGTTTAGTTCCATTCTCCTGACATTTCCCATAACTTTTTATTTCTCATTTTTAGACAGTTATCCAATTCCCTCATATATGCTAATATGGTTCTATCTTGACCACGGGTTCAGCTGTACATTTCATATCCTAACAACCATCCATATAAAAATATTCATCCCTACCTTTCCCATTGGTCTTTTGATAATGATCGTAAATCTGTATCCTCTATTTTCTGACCAACAGAAACCTATCTGAAAGCCAGGAGACACTATTCTTGAAGGGAGCACTGGCACTTAGCAGCCCTTTAGTCTTTCTCACTGAACATCGCACAATGTGTTCAGTCACTGGTTGCCAGTGTTAGTTATTGTGGGTGACAGTTCTGATAGTTGCATATTCAGACCCAAAGTTTCAACAGGAATGGAAGTAAAATGGGAATTTGATGTAAAAGTCTTAATGGTTGAATTGTATTGTTTTTAAACTGTATATTATAGGATATATTCTGTTGACGTAGACAACAAACTTTGCAGTTACTTCAATTTTCTGAATGACCTTCACTTACATCTCTGTAATAACTGGAACCGTTCAGTTTGCCTACAACTTTCAAAAGATACTTTTATTAACACAAAATGTTGTACTGACTTTACCACAGCCAGATGTTTTACAAAGCATGGATCAAGAGGTTGTGGGAAACAGAGGAAAACCTGGGAAATCTTTAGCAACAAATACTTGCAGAACATTCCCTCGGCTGAAAATACGGACATTCCAAAACACACAGCTAGTGTTAGGAAGGGAAAGAGGCCTAGCCTACCTTATTGTTAACTAACTGCTAGGCTAGAAATGTTCATTTTCCTAGAATTGCCATTTACAAATGACCCACCATAATGTACAGCTATGTAAAAGGGAAGTGAATGGCAATTCTGAGTTTTGACTATTAAATTCTGCAGGTTTGGTAAACTAGGAGAAGTTATTTTAGATACATTCACAAGGAAGTGTAATATCAGAATTTTTTTTTTTAGCAAAACGTAAGTGACCATCTAGTATATAAAATCCACCAAAACTCACTTACTCAATTATTATAGAATTCAAAATATTCATACCAAATGTTACGCTGCTATCACAATTTGAATAATCTCAATACATTTCATCTCAGCTGGTTTCCAAAACATAAACTATCCAGCTAGCCAGGAGTACAGTATTCCTACAGAAACGTGCTTTGGACCCCAAGAAGGTCTAGGTGAACTGACGGTCAATTTACATCCTTTTGTATGCATCTCAAACCTGAGAAACAGATGTGGGAATGAGGACTAGTAGTGCTGGTGCTCAGTGCTGTTTATCTTGAGAAAGCCTGTCTGATAAAGTTATGTCAGTGACCCTGTGATTGATGAATTCTGCCTGATCAATTCGGCAGCATGAGAAATGCCCTCAAATGTTTGCAAAGGTCTGTTTTTACTAATTCTTTGAATGTAGTTCATGCTCTACACAATGAGTTTCTGCCCTCCAGACCAGACCAGCTTCTCCTCCAGCCCCCACACTGTCACTTGCAGTCTCCCTCAGCGATCTGTCCTCGGTCCCCTCCTCTTCAATCTACACATGGTCCCGCTTGGTGATGTTATCCGCAGGCATGGGCTCAATTTCCACAGGTATGCGGATGACACCCAACTCTATCTCGCTGCCTCCGCCCTCGACTCCAAGACCGTTGATATCCTGGCTAAGTGTCTGTCTGACATCAAGTGCTGGATGAGAGCCAAGTTCCTCCAGCTCAATGTTGGCAAGACGGAGGCCCTCCTGCTTGGCTCCCAGCAGCGCCTCCTCACCTCAGCCACTGACACTATCACTATTCATGGTTGTACTCTTCACCTCACTGAGCCAATACGAAACCTCTGTGTCCTTGTCAACCCTCAGCTATCCTTCAATCTCCACATTCTTGCCGTGATCCGTTCCGCCTTTCCCCACCTCCACCTAGACTGTGAGCTCAAAGTCTTGACATGGGGCTTGGACTCACAACCTTCTGTCCCAGGATGTGAGTGCTACAAACCCAGTACTTTACAATGCTGATTCTGGAAACAGTCCCTTTTTCTGTAGCTCTTGGGCTTCATTTTTCACCCTGTTCACTGGCATGAGCCCCTCTCAAACTCGCACTCTAAAAACGGAGAGATGGTCAACATCACTTCAACATCCCAAACGAACATGGTAGAGTTATTTTTATTAGAAGAGTCTTGGAATAATCCATATAAACATATTATCACTGTACTTTCTAGGCATGTACATATGTGTATTGCCAGTCTGTGGCCACATTGACAGCCATTGTGTGAATGTCCATATTCCCTCTGGTACTTTCCTACTTCCATTTTTTTAAGTCTAATCTTCATGACTTGTGCTTGCATTGAAACAATTTAAAAATAACAATAAAATAAAAAATGGAAAAAGTACAGAATCAGTTTTTGTGTTATGAGGCAGCATAGAACACACAAAAACCTAGGATGCAACATAATCTGAGAATCATAAACAGATAACACCATCATGGCAAGGAAGGTAATAAGAAAGAAGAAAGGGGGAAAAATGAGACTGACTGAGTGAATGACTGTGGATTAAAAAATAATCAATTGCAATGGAGTCCTTGAATTATTGTGCAATGTTTTTTATACAAGGCTGCTGCTAGATAAGAATCCATGACTGCTTTCTCTTACACACAAACTAGAGGACGTACTGCAGGAGGAGAGCTATTCTACTTGATGTCATTTTGCTCAACAAAATATCTGAATTGCAATGTCACTAGTTCTTGTTCTGATTAAACCACATTAGATAATAATAATCCTTGTATTTGATAAAGTGCCTTATCATGTCATTGAGGCATCTCAAAGTGCTTCAAAGGATTTATGGTAAGTTTAGTAACTGTGTATTTGTCAGCAAAAACTGAATTAGAAGATAATTATTAATTCAATAGAAGTGAATACAGTCCGTATAACTAGAAACTGGTTCTGAATTTTTAATTTGTGATCACTTTACCTAAATATTTAAATCTTAGATGATCTCAACTGCAATAACAGTAACAGTATAACATTGTTATTAATTTCAAGAGCAGGTCCAAGATATACATGTATGTAGCTTAGCAAAGCTTATATGACAAACATATGGCTGATGGCAAAACAGGAACTTCATACAAGAATTGGAGAAAAGTAGTCAGTTTGATAAAAGGCTTGAGGGATAGTGGGTCTGAATTGCAAACAAAAATGAAACCATGTGTCAATATTTTCTTTTGCCAGCCTAAGATTTTATGAACTGAATATAAAGTCCAGTTGCTAATGAGATCGAAAAGAAGTAGATCACTAGTCCACATAACCTACCCATCCAATTTCTCAAAAAATTCCTTCAATTGGATCTAACATGCAGGTTAAACATTTGACATGGAGATTGTGTTTGATTGCAAGTTTGTCTGTTTACTAAACAGAAGTTCTGATAAGCTGTATCCTGCTTCATGAACATCAGCACCAAGAATGGTAGGTTGGCAGGAGCATGGGGGAAATCCCAGACAGATACTTCCTTAATCAGTAAAATTACAAATGTCTAAATTTAATCTGAGTGTTAAGACTGCATTGCATTTACCTCTAAATCTAATAACACTTTAAACTAAATACAATAATGTGAACTATAAATTTCCCCTCTCACGACTATCTTAGTTCAACACAGTAGCCTGTTATATAGAGCTCCGAGACACCATCCGGCTTGAAGGGCACTATACAAATGCAAGTTGTTGTCATTGTTATAGATACAAACTTCTAATTTTCAATTAAGATATTGCACCCCTCACAAAGATTTTTTTGATCAGAAATAAAAAGAAATGCTAAATAAATTCCTCTCAAACGGGTTCCTTTAAATCAGGGTAAACTGTGCAATCATTGCTGGCAGGGAAGAGCTGAGAAATGATCACAAACATGAATAGTGGAGTGAACAGCGACAGCATACCTGGCTGAGGAGCTGACTTATGCCTTTGGCTTTTCTCTTTCTTAAACTTTGGCACGATTCGGAACATAGCACTTCGACTGTTTCTTTTCGCAAACTCCATTGAATGGTCCTGTTAGAAATTACAGTGTGGCTTGATTAGTTTCCATATCATTTTAATACTTTGTACAAATTTCTTAAACATAAACGACATGAAATGAAAAAACTATTGATATATTCAGCAATGCAGCAAAACAATTACTGTACTTGAATCTGCATAATTTTGCTTGAGTTCAAAAATACCTAACCACCAGCTGCTCACAGGCAGACCATGTGTCACTGCCCCAATATAGAGTAGAGACACATCATTTCAGCAACACATTGGGCTGAATGATCTGTACTTGAGTGGAAAAGAGTTACTGATACATTGCTATAGTGAAACTTCAGGACATGGGGAAATTTGTGCATTCATCAAAGCATCACACAAGTGTTTTTTACTCTTTGGAACATAACTGTGGAGAGATTAGGTAATAAACATGCTCAGTTTTACTTGAGGAGAATGTATATGTAATTCAGAGCTTCTAAGCTGAAATTTGAAAGATCATGTAGTACTTGGGCAGCATTTATTGTGTAAAATAATGCTGGAAACTGCACAAAATCCCTCTGTTCAGTGAATTCGCTTTGTTGTCATAAAAGATCATGACTTTGTGATAAAATTAGGTCTCATGTCCTTTATTAGCATCATCTATTTCTATTTTCCTAAGTATTTTGAAACAATTAGATTTTAAAATTTCCATCCAATATAGCAGCAACTGTCCCCACAAAATGCTGGCGGAGTCTTGTGTAGTTTCAGCTTAGAAGTTCTGAATTATACATAAATTATAAATAAAGCAATATTGAGCATGTTTATTTCCTGATCTCCTCACATCTAGTTTTGAAAGAGTAAAAGTTTAAAATGAACATATAACCAACAGCTATTACCAAGATTATTATTTGACAACTATAGCAAACAGCACATCACTAAACACCAGAAAGCACATTTCTATTTTTACAATAGTCTGGAAAAAGGAATGCATTGGGTGATGTAGTTGATTCTAACTCAGATCTTTCCTCAGTCCAGGGGAGGACACTGCAAGACTGACTTCCTATCCTGAAGTTGCACTTGAAAAAACATGGTGCTGTTATATATAAAGATAAGTGTTGCCACTATCAACTAGACAATGCTGATGGATGTTTTCTCCATGGCTGATTGGATGAGATCCATTGTTTGGAGGATTTATCCACTGGTTTAAAAGTAGTCGATGGATTGGTAGTTTTACACCAAATTTAAATCTTCCTTTTAATTTTCCAGATGGCTACATAACATGCAGCAAACTCCGGTCAATAGGGCAGACAAGCAAACTGAGATTGTGCAAGGGGAGTGATTAATACGGCAAATGGGGATTCAACCCAAAGTGATTTTTAGAGCCCTCTGTGTCAATGCTGGGTGTGTAGGGGTGGTAGTGATGGGGGTGGGGGGAGAGGCAGGGAGGGAAGAATATTATCCTACCTTGTAGGGCGTTCTTCATTCTTTGAATGAAGCATCCTCCACATTATGCAGGAGTAAGTCCAGGTTAACAATGAGAAGAATGACAATGCATGCAGTCCATTTAAGATGTTTTAGAGGTTGCTGCTGCCAAGATGCTGGGATTGTGCTCACGTGACTCCCACTTCATGCACAATGCAACAGTGCTTCCCTGTGCTGAGGTTTCAGGTGTTTGTCCAGGTGAAGCGGAAAACACGACAATACAAAATATATGACAACAAAACTAAATACAACGAATCCCCAAAGGGTCAGACAAAGGGGCTGAGAGGGATATTTGGTGCAGAGGATGCTTCATTTGAATTAGAAGGAACACCTTATAAGGTAGACAGACAGTGAGGGGAGGGGTCTATTTTACTATTTATTGAACAAACTTTTCACAGTGAGGTTCAAACGACACTGCTCAGGAAATCGGTCACATTACTTCAGTAATATTGCCACCTCAAAAAACACTAGAACAATGTAACAAGATTTTCTGCAGAGAAACCCATCCAGGTCTCTCCAACTCGTAAGACACTAGCAATGCTCAGGATCTACTCAGAGCTGAGGCCACGTGAGTCAGTATGACTTGCAGGGATGCCCAGCAGGTACCAGAGCTTGTGATGTGAGCTCCTTTTTCTGGCAGTGAACCGGTATTGTTGAGGAATGGTTTGTCAACCTCGATGTCTTCATAATAGGATTTTCCATTACAACACTGCAGGATAAAGATTGCTATCTTTTAGCAATGTGCATAAGATAGTCCTCAATGTTAAATTCTCCCACTGTAGGTTTGTTCTTATTCTTTGATTGTAGATCAATCTTCACATGAGAAATAAAGAAATATCTAATTTCCCAAAGAGGGAAGGAACACCCCCCCTATCACCACCACCACTAGATGCCTTCCTTTAAAAGTTGGTGGCATATGGTGACCACGACAGTGATGTGGTCCTCTCTACTCCACGCTGCACATAAAGCCTGAAGTGTATTGCAGCTGTTTTATAACAGGGCTAAAAGACGTTAAAAATAATGACTAAATTAAGAAGCTCTACATTTGCACTAAGAACCAAAATAAGGGGAAAGTTTACATGAAGGTTGATGTTTTTGTACCAGGGCAGATGGAGAAGCAAGAAGAGAAGAATGAAGAGAGCTTGAACAATAGCCAAGGAACGAGAAAGATCATACCACCAATGGGTAACCAAACATATTTCAACATTCATTTTCTCGACGCATATCAATAGGAGCTGCTGTCAATTCCAGTACAAAGGGGGAAAAAATCCTCATGGGATTATTCTCTTCTTAGTGAATCTGCTGCACTGTGCTTATAAATAACTGTGATGACAATTTACATTTACACTTTAATCCTATACGCAGATTATCATTTTATTCCTGATGTCAAATTTCATTCGTCATTTATAAGTGCACATTGCCAAATTTGCTAACGGTAGGCAAAAGATGTAGAATAGTCCAGCACATATTAATGAAATTACCTCATAGTAAACAGAACAATCTTTCTCTACCCTCCCCTGCTCGGGCTCCGGAAACGTTAACACTATGACTCGTCTTCTCTAGATAGTGCAAACTTCCACCATTTAATTGTATTTATGGCCACAATTATTTGTTTGTATGTGGAGGTTGAAGTTCTTTCAATCAAAGAATAAGGATCATACCTAACTTTGCTGTTCATTCAACCAGCAGAATGCAAATACAGCTCTTGATGATGATAAAGTGGTATCTAGCTCAGACAGAGTACTGCAGCACCGAGACCCTTCTCATCTTGAGCCCTTAGTTGCTGTGTCAAGCATGTGTGTTACTCCAGAGACCTGCTTTGCAGATAAGTTCAGGGGAAACCTGAAGGCCCTCACCTTGGCCATAGCATGAGCAGAATGTCAGCTCGTCTCAGTTGGAAGTACTCTTGCCTCTTGCTCACAAGGTTGTTGGTTCAAATTGGGTCTTGAAGTTATGGATTGACATTGAGTGGTAATGAGGGAGAGTTGCATTTTCGGAAAGTGCTATTGTTTGGATGGCGCATTAAAAAAACTATCTGCCAGTTCAGCTGGTTATCAGGGAACTTATGACACTATCAGAAAAGAGATGTTCCTAACATTCTTACAAATTCATTGGTGATTCACTTGTTGGCTGTTTGTTGGCAGAATTAGATGCTGTGTTTGCCAACAGTTACTAGGTTGATGAGGTTGTATTCTCTGTTGGCGCATGTATTTATGGACCTTGGTGGTAACTTTAGAATGGGCTCAGCCCATGTTGCCAAAATCCATATATTTATGGCCTACTGGACAATAAACTGTTTTTGTCCAGCAAACATTAACTGACCTTTAGAGAAGCACTCCTTGGGGGCTAACATTGGGCTCAGTGAAGATGTTTGCATCAATAGCTTATTCCCTCTATGCTGAACCTGAAGAGGAACCTTGTAGTGATTGGTCATAGCCAGAAAGCCCCAAATCCACTAGCTGTTCTCTAAGACATAACAAGTGAGTCAGATTTGAATCTTTAGGTACAGAAAGGATCCAAAGAACCTGGTTTTCTTGCTACAAAGTAGCAGGTGTAAAAATGGACATTTCAGTGTTAGAAAGAAGGTGGAGTAGTGCTGGAAACACTATTTCCTTGGCGGTGGGACTTATTGACAGTTGAAAAGAGATGTTCCTAACTTAATACTTTAGACCCTATTTGCCTGAAAAATGACAGATACAATTCTTCACTGATAAGGCTGCAAATGTTGGTGCCAGTACTGACAACAGCACAGGGAATGCTCCTTTGGGTTTAAGGACAGCAATTTTATTCAGTATTTGCATCTGACAATCTGAAAGTAGTTGATTGCCAAAAGAGCATTAGACTTTTCTTCCCTTACCTTAAAGAGCACAAAATTGAGCAATATATATATAAGAAAATAAAGAAATAACAATTGACTAGGGGTGAGAAACCACAACTTTACGTTGGTGAAAACAAAACAGGAGTTGAACATTTCATGCACAAAGTTGACAGGGAAGGCATTCGTTGACTGATGACAATAGGGAACACACAACACATGCATTATGACTGGTTTTGATATCAAACATATCAAACATGTCTTAAAGCAACTGTATCATCCAGTGCGATTCTCCCTATTAACAACCTGAGCGTGCTCCTGTGGCATGTGGAAGATGCTGAATGAGAATGAAAAGAAAGAAACAAAATAAAATTAGAAAAAAACATAGAACCCAAGTAAAGCCTACATTTCCCTACGTTGCTATAAGATTCCAACAGTTAAGTCTCAGGAGCACTGGGTTCACATTACATCGCAAGGTTGCTGAAGAGATGATTAGGATACAGCTGAAGAGATTGTACAGAGCAACAAGGAACATTGTGGGGTCAAGGTACACAGAATAAAGGCCAGAAGATGTCACAGGAGATGGGGGTATCAGGGAAACAGATGAATCTTGTGACTCACAAAGACAAATGAAACAAATTAAAAGTTAATTATGAATCTTTATCAGGAATATCTTATCACCTACTAACTGCATAAGCAGTACTGGGAGAAACACATTCTGTTGACTCAACCTCCTCCCATTTTACCATATTCTGCCATTTGAGAAGCAGTTCATTAAAAACGGTGAATGTCAAAGGCTAAATAGTTTTACAAGAGGAAAAGCAAGTAAACAGCACAGTAACATCACCACCCAAACCCACTTTTTTTCAAAAATGAATACGGAGTGTCACCGTACTCCAAGACAGGATCTCACCAGACTGCATTGTAACAAGGTGCCTCACCACAGTGCCTTAAAACAGGGTGTCTCACTACACTGCATTATAATAGGGTTTCTCACCTTACTGGAAGACAGTTTCTCACCACACTGTATTACAAACAGGGTGTCTCGCCACATTGCGGTGTTTTAGCAGCACTGCTCTTCAGTTATGCATCTTTGACACTCATTAAATTATTGCCAATTGCTGCCAAAATATCTCCTAGATCTTATTTTTACACATGATTCTAACGAAAGAAACACATTAAATCTGTGGAGATGATTTTGTGGAGTCCTGTAGCTCAGTGGTTAGAGCACTCGCTTTACAAGCGAGAGACCTGAGTTCAATTCCAGGCAGAGGGCGAAACCTTGGGCAAGTTTCCTTAATAATAATCCCTCCAAAAACCCAAAACAATGATAAATTGGTCATTTTCAATCTACGACTGTTTGTGGGACATTGCTGTGCGCAATTGGCTGCCGCGTTCGCCCACAAATATAATCAATTCAATTTACAGTGTGTTCTGTGAAGCGCTTTGGGGCGTCCTCCCGACGTGAAAAGCGCGATATCAAATACAAGGATTATTATTATTATTTCCCGATCGTCAAAAAATGTACCTACCTTGGTGGAGCGAACTCGTGATGAAAAAAATCCACACTCCAAGAATCGGTAAATGTAGCGGAGAATCAGATATATTGGCCTTCAGTGGGGCTTATCTGTACCATTGATTGGAGGAACTTCCCCCCTCCCCACCATTATATTTCAGCGTCAGGAACATTATGTGCTCTGAATGACTAACTGTACATCTCCTGCCGGATTTGTCACACAAAAAAAAAAAATTCATACCTCTTCATCTGTTGGCTGCAGCACATAATAGAGCCAGGGGATCTCTGCAAGCTTTCGCAGTTCGATATCGACACTGTGCAATGCTGTGGAAAGCTGCTCTTCCTGAGGAGAGTCCAGTTGCTGTCACAGGAATGAAAAGAGTAATGTGGTCAGCTCTCAGGATTACAGCAGATAACAGATTAAAAAAAATAATAATTGGTCACTCAATCCGTGACTGTTTGTGGGCCACTGCTGTGCGCAATTGGGCGTCACGTTTCGACCGCAAAATATATATATATATAGTCAATTCACTTTACAGTATATTCTGTGAAATATAAGGCTTTATGTGAAATGCAAGTATTATTATTATAATCCATCAAATTGGAGTCCTGAATTAAAATGCGATTACAATACGCGTAAAGAAAGGCACCACAATGATGTAGTGGATATAGCTGCAATCCAAAAGCTCGCTGGTTCGAATCCCGGTCCATACTTTGCTGGTCTCAGCCAAGGTTGCAAGTTTAATTGGCCAACCAGGCTCCCTGGTCCCTTCAGCACCTCTTCTACTGGTAATACGAGGCAGTCGGGTGAAGAGAGGTTAGAGACGGCTGTGACGCCACCTAAAGTTGAATGGCTTGTTATCACTCACTGCCAAAGCTCGCACATGAACCATGGTCACTTGAGCAGGATACCAAAGGGCAACCAGTGACCGTAGAAGCCTACCCTGACACGAGAAGGCTGAGAAACAGGAGCAGAGACGTATACCAATTTGGAGAAAAATAATTGGACACACTAAATTTTCTAAAAAAAAACAAAGCTTGATCAACATCCAGGAAGGATTGTCCCAGCTAGGCAAGTTTGCCAGACAATGAAGCGTTCCGGGATGCCATCCTGCATGAAAGGCACTATATAAAAGCAAGTTGTTTTTGTTGTTAACAAAGCTCTCAAGCTAACCGAACAGGTAACGTCTTACACCTAAATATTTTGCTAGTTCCAATCGTAACTCGTCTATGTAAAGATGCATGCACTGTATTGCTGAATTTAGTATAACAGGCTCTGGACTGTTACTATGCAGAAGGATCGATCGAGGCTTCGAGAGGTTGTCCCGATGCAAGAAGGTGAAAGTGGTGTGAGCCTCCAGTGGTCAGGCCAAGCTGGACAGGTCCAAGCTCAAAGACAACACCAGATAAACAGCAACAGAGGCTTGATCTGATCTATATTTGGAACATTACACAACATTACCTTGTGTGAGGGGCTCTATATAAATGCAAGTTGTTGTTGTTATATTTATCAGTTGACTCGGGCGAATATCTTACCAGAGGAACTCTTCCGACAAGCAATGATTCAGTCTCATTGTGCAAAGCTTTCACGTTGCTGGCAATCTCAATCGCTGTGTTCCTTGTAAGACTCTGGGGAATAAAGAATGACTTGTTTGCTGACTGAGGTGCAATTCTTTTTGTTTATTCACACAAATAATGAAGAGAATTCAATGGGAGAATTCAGTGAAGGGTTAGCATAGACAAGGTTCCGGATTGCTGTCAGACACATTATTTATCAACTGCCTTATTATGATATGCAACTTATATAAACCCACCCCTTACCTGCATCAAAAACAAATCGAGATTGATCAAATAGTCATCACAACAGTACAAATGCCGTGTGGTTCATCTAGCTCTCACTTCCACAGACCACAAAAAACTTTCCCTGCCATAGGCCACAGCATCCACTCTGTCTCCAAGGGGAAAGTTCTACAGAGATATGACCTGACCCCCTTCCCCTCCTACCCCCAAATTCAGACCCCACGGAAATCACTGTGTCACGGGCAGTAATTTCCTTATTCCAATCTTCACCTATTACTGTATCATCCACACTATTCCAAAGCAAATACTTATCTATTTCTTTTTTTCCTCCCCAACAAGTTAATTGAGGCACATGAACTCATTTTGTTAGGAGTCTGTTTCATGTATCCATAGGTAGAGGGAAAAAAAGTCATTCTATTGATCATTATACCCTCCTGAGACTTTTGAATTCCAAACTATGAGTTGTTATCAAAAGACAAAAGATTGACTGGTTTGGTCGGCTAAATTTCAACATGAGAAAGACAAGTCACAGTTGGTCATTCCTGCTACTTTGTCCCACTTCTTACCTCTGGGAACTTTGGATGGGTTTTGTTTAGTGCATGTGAGCTTGCATTTACTGCATGAGCCAGCTCCTGCTCCAAAAGGCTGTGTGTTTTGGCTGCTTCGCAGATTCTGAAATACATCAAGGAAAGACTTCAACAATACAGACCAAGGCTGACAGAGCTGGTAGGTTAATAGAAGAGACCTTCAGGAAGGAATAATGTGGGAGCATCGATCCGTGTGATGTTATTGAACATTTAAATTATAATCTTTTTCTCTTTATCATCTATTGACAAAGTCTAAAACTTATAAAGTGAGTAAACTGAAGTTTTAATCTACAATCGTTGTTTCTCAATGTCCCTGCTAATCCAGACGAAACCTATTAAAGCAGCATTGATTTGCACCATGTCAGTACATTTCTGAAGCAGTTGCATCGCTCTGATATTATGTGCTAGTAGCATTGATATTTCTTGTCCCAAAAAACATGAATTGTGCCATCAATTCACAGTATTAACTGGAAGAACGTCACTCACATCATGGTGACTCAGAGGGAACCCTGCTCAAAAATAGATCATGTCAGAGTTAAGTAGTCATTGTGACATATTTCTGGATTAATTCCTTAAGGAATCCTGTTTGAAATCTCCGCATTTCAGACCCCAAAACATTTGTCTATAATTTTAGTGAAGTGCTTTGCACAAATAGTACTCACTCTATCTGACTTTATTTCTCCATTAACAAATAAAAGGATTTGACCACACATCTTTATCACTATCATTTGACCATATAGCCACCAGCACCTGCTATTGCAATCATTAATCTGGATTCTCTGAACGTGTGGGAGGACAGTAACCATTACTGCAGAATAAACCAATACAATTTATTGGGTTTTGAGATCTTCTGTTCGGTGGGATTGAGCAATGCACATCCTTCCTCTGGGCTCCATGCCCATGTTAGCGTACTTCAGAATATGTGAATTATGCAGTACACAACCTGAACAAGTTCTCCAGTTGGCTGGGGTTGGAGTCTTTGTATAAATCATTGAGCCACTTCCCTTTGATTCCTTATACAGTAGAAATACAGTAAAAGGACACTGTGAGCCGCAGTCACAAGCACATCTCGTCTGTTTTTGAGAAATCACCCAACACATCTTATTGCAGATGCAATATAAAATATACAGCTTAAAGCGCACTGCTTAAAGTGTGTTCACTGAAAACTGACAGAGCAGCAATGAAAAAACGTGTGGGGAAGCTCTGTACTTTACGAGTATACGGAGCGATTGAGGTTCTTTGTGTTAGTACCAAAGAGAAAAATAAATATGAATACAGTGAAACTCATATAACTCAACTCTGGGATAAGTCATTAACCCAAGTACGTTGTACTTTTGAGATACTGTACTTTAGATAACCAGTCAACACTGATAAGTAGTCAATTGAGCATTCCCAAACTAAAACTGCTGTGCTAAATAGTCTCTGTGTAAAAACAAATACCTCCTGATCTCCCCCCCTTATCACTCCCTTGTTAACCTTCTTAAATTGATGCCATCCACTTACAGTGGTTACAGTTGACCGGCAATCAGTTAACTCAGAAACGTCCAGGGATCAGACTTGGGATCTTTCTGGTCTAAGTGCCGAATTTACACACTCTGCCATCAGGGAGTCCAGTCTTGCTTTACGTACCTAGTAATTAGTTCCTCAGCAGCATGGGCACAGAGCTGCAGCTGGGTGGCCTCTTCCTCTGTGGCCAGATCTACAGAATGCTGTGGGTACAGGTGAGGTCGAAGAGCGGGTCTGCAGGAATCATAACGCAGTTTGTTTTCCCACAGCTTCAAAGTGCTCTCAAACGCCTGCGTAAAAATAAACTGAATGATAATCCTGTTGCAAACTAAACAGACAAAGCTTTCAGTAACTAATAATTATAACCGCACGAGACGCTACAATTCCAGTTTGGTCTTTGGCTTTATTGGTTGAAGATAACTCTGCATCTCCAAGGTTAATTTCTCAGTCAGATGGCTGATTAACCATCAACCAAGCCTTGGATTACTGGATTTCCTCAAGAGTCATTTCAGACCATTGAGATTCTTACCATTGGCATAACTGACATCATAGACAAAACTAATCCATCCTCAACTAACTTCTGTGTACCATGCAACCCTGTTATACTTCACCATGATATGAATTCAACTATAATGAAATTGTACTCTGGACCCCATTTACTGCCCACAATTTTCTCACTTGTTTCCTTATGTACAGCAGGTTTTTCACACTAAAATCACTTCTTTTTGCTTAATTCTCTTATATACTTACTCGGTCTCTTGTCAACATCTGGGCTCTGTTTTTGTGCATGATTTTAATAACCCCAGGTGGCTGGATCCAGGCCTCTCCATCCACTTGTACGGGCACACCCTCGTCTCCCAATATGGTGATTTTTACAGATCGGCACTGAGGAACATCAGATTAGTTTAATTTTTGGAAATTGTGACAATAAAAGGATCAGCTGTTGTTGCTATAAGAAGCGAATAAACCAGATTGAAAGTATTTAACTGAAAGAGAATCAACTGTTGGGATTTAAAGGCCGTGGCAAGAAAGGGGATTCATTCTTAGATCGATGGTTGGTTCCATGGGATACATCCGATTTAAAATGCTGTGCTTGGGCCTAAAATGACCGATATAGCTGAGCAAACTCTTAAAAAGACAATTTTTGTTTGCCTCCTTCAATGGCAGTTCATTCATTCATTCATTCATTCATTCATTCATTCATTCATTCATTCATTCATTCATTCATTCATGTGTTTGTAGTAACAACAACAACCTGCATTCATATAATAGCCTTCACGTAGGACAGCATCTTGGAGAGCTGTAGAGACTGCAGAGACTGATTGATAACAAGTGGCTTGAAGTGTGAGTGAAAGAGTGGCACACCCACCTGGGCTATTCGGTGATGCTGTAGCTTGATTACCCTGGATACCGCCATTTGCATACTGCCAAACACAGCCACCACTTCCAAGATCTTGTCATCAAATGAGGGTGCCCCAAAGATCTGAAACGTGCACAGAATTTACAACTCTGTTCACGCAGCAAAAACAATGCCAAAGGGCAAAACAGGCAAGCAGCTGCAACCTGAGTTCCTTCCCCCATCCATCAGGTCATGATCATACATCAGCCTATGGCCAGACAGACTCTGTCTGTCTCTGTCTCACACATCCAGTTCTTGACAGGAGTCAATATTCACAATGTTTTGCAGTTCCTGTTGTGAATACCCCATTTTAGACTCGATTTTTGAGCTGAGTGCTCTTGTGCTTGTATTTCCCAGTTATTCTTACAGCAGGGACAAGTCTTGCATGACCACCCACATTCTACAAATCACTTCAAAGTGTAACAGACTTAAACAGAATGATACGTCACGGCAACAGGCTATTCAGCCCAACTAGTCCATGCCTGTGTTGATACATCATGCATCAGCCTCCACTCCTCTATTCCCTTCTCCCTCATGTAGACATCAGGTTTGCTCTTAAATACATGGATGACAGCGCCACCCAACTGCACCAGCACTACAGATTCCACCAGTCATGTTGCTTTTATTACAATAGCTGTTAACAACTATGCATGCATATTGTACAATAAATATGAACTGTTTATCCAGGCTGTGATTGCAACATGATTATGGCATGCAAGAAAACACGGGATTTTCTTTTAAAACACATACATTACAGAAAATTCTATGGGCATTATAATCCCATAGAGGAGTCATAGGTTATAAGAGTTTTATATTCCAATGGATCAATTTGGAAAATGTTTCAGGTTCTTATTAAATCACAGCACTGAGCACATTGGCTATAAACATTTACAAAAACATTCCTGAGAATTAAATTATATTGTTGCAAAATACTTTGACAATTACCCAATTGATTTTGTACGCAGTTAGTTTAAGCCCAAATAAGGGTAGCAGAAAGAATTGAAGTCAAAGGTTAGTTTTCTTATGGACATGAAGATTTGTCTCTTCTTCAGCAAAACTTACATCATCCTCTTTGGTTCCGCCCCAAAAATTGGTTCCACCAGCATAGCTTGGAATATTTAAGACAGCAATGCCTTGGAGACTAGGCAGAGGAATATACTGTCCATCACACTGTAACGCACAAAAAGAACCGTGAGAAAGTGAACCCTTTTTATACACCATGTGTCGTGTTAAACATGCATTCCCAGTTTATTTAGCAATAATCAGGAAACTAACAATGAAAATGAAAACATTACAGCTCAGTGTTTCTATAGGTGGATTTACCTTGACAATAGCTTATAATAGGGAAGAGGAGACTTCACATCCACAAGGGAAGTAGTTTATTGAACATCACCTCATACAATACAAAATTACAATTGTCTAGCGTCTTTCACGTCGGGAGAATGTACCAAGGCGCTGGGACTCCAGTGGACCCACATTCAGTCATCTTTCCCCCTCCCCCACATTAGCTATTACCCCCAACTCGGGAGCAAATCCTGTACTCTCCAGGAACTTGGGATGTCTTACTGACGTGATAGAAGCTATATAAATGTAAATTTGCTGTTGTTAATCGTAACCAGAGAAGCAGAAGTCAGTAGGTAAACAGGGAATACACAGAGCAGCTACGTTAAATAGTGGGAGAACCTAGAACCAAAATAGTGGGAGAATGGCTCAATGTAAAAAAGGGAGCAGCAACATGGCATCTTAAGTGACCGTAAATTTTGTGGGTGAAACGCGAATAAATAATAAATGTTATCTTGGGTAAAATCATCCACTTCTTAATTTCAACTGAACCAGATATTAAAATCTACAAAAATAAAATAAATAGTTGGTTGGAAGACGCTTAATATAAAACCCCACCTTACAATGATACTTTAATGTGACATAAAGTTTAGTTTGCATATGATTTTCACTGCATTTTAATGGATTGTATCTATTGTCCATATCGAATCACTGTAGTATGACAGCAGGGCTGCTTTAATGGTGTGGAAGATGCAAAGTAATTACCTCAAGTTGGACTTTTTGTTCCAAGTTCTTATAGGTACGTTGCAGTAGCTCTTTAGTGCCAAGCACACCATACCACATCATATTCTTGGTTCGGCTTCTAGAGAACAAAAGGTGGAAAAAGTGTTCAAAAAGGACCAATACATGAACTGAGATACTAGACGTTGCATTATTGCAGCTATACATAAAAATAAATAAACTTGATCAATACGCAAATTACTATTTCTTTTATTGATCCTACATGATCAACCCCCTTTCTACCAGATTGCAGTCATTTGTTGACTGGTTGTAAGTAAAAGACAGGTACTTCTTTGATATTCGAGGCTTGATGGCTTTGAAATATTGTGTTTACTATGTGGTATTTCTAAATGTTTTTTCCTCAAATGAATCTCATTGGAGCACAGTTGTTGCGAGTCAATATAACATACCAGAAGAATTTATTTTGTGCAACTAGGATTTGTTTAAAATTTTGTTTTAAGTTTCTTTTAAGAACCACAGAAAATCAGCCTCAAAGTTGAGCCAGATTTCAATAATTTAACAAAATCTTAAGAAGAGTAAATCTAGACCCAGGTGGAATTTTATCCTATTAAATTGGTAATTGCATACATTTTATTTTGTATGGAAAACTAGTGGTAATTTTTAAGGCTGTTTAACAATTGAAAGCTCTGTAGATACCTGCATTTCTCAGGGTGCTCCTCACGTTTGTTGTTAAACTCCAAGGAAATCTTTGCATCTAATCCAATTCCAAAATAATTGTTCATCACACATTTTTCATGATAACCTTCTCTGGAATTAAAAAGGAATAAACAGATCTTGTTAAAATTGACTCCTAATATTATTAACATTTTCTTACAATATGCAACACAATTCAAATATTAACAATACTTTTTCTTAGAATCATAGAAATCTATGACACAGTAGGAGGCCATTCGATCCATTTTTTGGTTTGTTATCCTAATCCCAAATCCGTTCTTTTTCCCCTTATTCTTGGATACTGCTCCTCTAAATGTGCTTATCACCAATACATGTTTAAATGTCCAATCATTCCTTATATGTTTAATAAAATGATCCAATTAATAAGCAAACAAGAACATTAACTTGGTAAACACGGAAAAGAAAATTGCTTACAGTAAATCTGGATCAGGATCTATAAATGGAGTTGCTCCAAAGGGATCAATGTTAGCCAGTAACATTTTACTAATGATTGAACTTCCTGCAATCGAGGCAGCAAGTCCAGCTCGTAAGCCTGTTTTAAGAAACACATGACTAGGAATTAAACACACAAAACGACCTACAGTGTACAAGGTGCTAACATCACCTTTACTCTACTATGGTTCTTAAAATAAACTGAAAAGTAAATTTTAAACAAATCCTAGTTGCACAAAATGAATGTGAGCAACTATATTTTTGGTACGGAAAGGACAGTTGCCGAAAGCAACTTGACGGCACAGGAGTTTGAGCACTTATCAGTACATAATAAGTCTCAAGCAGCTTTAGGACCCTCACTTTTCACACAGTGGGTCCTGGCTTTGGTTGAAACTATCTCCAAAGGAGGATACAAGGTGATTCCTTGGAGGGAGGGAGAGAAAGTTGTGGAGTGTTGGCATGCATCACTAACATTCCTGTGTTTGGCAGAGGGGTGGGGGGCACCTTTATTTTATATGAAATAAATAGAGGGGAAAGAAACAAAGAAGATCCATATATTAAACTTTTCCTATATATACACAGAAATCCTCATATGCTGCACAGGGGAACAATGGAATGCTTCCTCTAAATTGGCTGGTGCCAGTAACTCCGCTCCAGTCGATGTTCTTGCTTCCTGCCTTTTCTGCCGCTGCCTCTGCTTTACATGGTGCCGGTGTTGCCAGTTGTTAAGATTTTTGCCCCTCCAGCCTGAGGTGCTGGCTTTGCCTGGTCCAGCAACCGGTCAAAGATTTCAACAGCAGCAACAAGGCCAGGAAGCCAGCCGTCGACTATTAGGTCCTCCCCTCTGCCCCCCCCCCCCCCCCCCATCTCCCCCCCCACACACACACAAACATTTTCTTTTCCTCTTCTGTCTTTAACCTTGGTCCATCAACTATTTTTTAAAAAATGAATTAAGAAGAAACAGCTACTAGCTTAAATATCACAGAGTTTTTTTATGAAATAAATAATAAATGTAAATTATTATGTTGTATTTCAAAAGTGCTGCAAAGTGTAATGACTTTACTTTTAGGCAAATGGAGGATCCCATTTGCACATAACAATCTCCGACAAATAGTCATGAAGCGAATGACAAATTTAACTCGACCATTATTGGTCAGGACACCAGAAGAAACTTCCTTTTCATTGAAAATAGTGCCATGGGATCTTTAACATTCAACTGAACAGGTGGTTGGGGCCTCAGTTTAATGCCTCGTCTGAAGGTTGCACCTCTGACAGTGCTGCACTCAAATACCAGCCTAGACTATGAGCTCAAAGTCCTGACGTGATCGCTACCTGGACAGATGATTCTTGTGTTCAGCACTGGGAGGTTTTCTTTACTCGCAGTCAACGGTGAAGATGAGAATGGACCAGTGTAGGATGTAGTGCTTCGATGGACTCGTCTTTCTGGAGATCTGGGTGCAGGCCTGACATCTAAAGAAGGAAAAGCCCATATCACCAGTTTGTTTATATTTCTATTACTGAACGCTAATATAAAGCAGTAAACCCACAAAAGAAACTGCAGTCTACATCTGGGCTCTCACTTGCTCAGCTTTTCCTGACTTCTGCAAGATCAGCTGTCTCTGCCACTCCTTTGACCCTTTCCCCACTTGGCTGCTGAGATTGTCATCTATGCCGTGCCACCTCCAGGCTAGATTACTCCATAGCCCTGCTCGCTAGATGCCCCAGCTGCTCCCTTCACAAGCTGCAGCCCATTTAGGTCTCTGCAGCCTATGTCCTCTCCAGCACCAGGCTCTGCAAGGCCATCAACCCCATCCTCACTCAGGTTAACCGGTCTAAGAGCCTTCTTCTCCTGAACCTTGCTTGTGTCTTATGATTTACACACACACAATCAGAATAAATTCTCTAAGCTAGGAAGACGAGAGAATCAAGTATATTTACATGTCTGCACGTCAGAGTCCTTCGATTCATCCTCCTCTTTTTGATCTTTGTCCTCCTTCATCTCCTCCTCACTTTCTTTCTTCAGTTCCACTGGAGACTGTTCCTGAGTGTGAGCATTCTGTTCGTCTATTACTGTCAGGAAGAACATGAGTAAACACAGTCAGATACATACACAAATCTGCTCATGCACAATATGGAAAGGAAGAGAAGAAATTCACAGTGACTAGAGGACTGGAATGTGGACATGAAATGGTTATTTTCTCTCATGAGGAAATTCGCTGTGATATATGGATTCATACAGTCGGATAAAATTTGCAGCACATCTTGTATTAATTATCATCACATATCGCAATTTTCACTGCAACATCTCGTACAAAGACTTACATATTAGCAGATTGACTACCTACTGTGGTCCTTAGAATCATTCTAACTAGCCGAACATACCATGGGAGATCAATGTCTCTAGCCAAGCTGCATCAAAGCCTTATCGTAGTTGGATCACAAAGTAAACAGTGAAATTCTGTAACATGTATGTCTTTAATTCAAGATCCTCATCCTCACCTACAAGGCCATTCACGGCCTTGCTCCCTCCTACCTCTCCGACCTACTATCCCCCTACCTACCTGCCCGTACCCTCTGGAACTCTATCCCCAAGTGCCTTCGCCTTGCCTCCTCCATTTCCTCCTTCAAGGCCGGTCTCAAGACCTTTCTCTTTGACCGTACCTTCAGCTCCCCTCTCGACTCTCTACCAACTCCTCGCTCCCTCCCATTCCTCCCCTCACCCTGACCATTTCCCCCTTGCTCGGGTCCTGACCCAACTGTACAGCGCCTTGGGACGTCCTCCCGACGTGAAAGGCGCTCAATAAATGGAATCTTGTTGTTGTTATTGTTGTTGTTTAAATTACATGGTACTTTAAAATCAGAAACATACAACAGTAAAATACTGAGATTAGGTAGAACATAGCATTATCAGCAAGGTCTGCGCCTCAGGTGGAATGGAACTACACAAATCCTTGCATTTGATAAAACGCCTTATTATGTCGTTGAGACGTCTCAAAGCACTTCACAGGATATACTGTAAAGTGGATTGACTGTATTTTCTGTGTGAAATGCGGCAGCTGGTTTGCACAAAGCAATGTCACACAAACAGCCACGGAGATAGTGACCAATTTTATTGGGGGATTTGTTAGCCTGGACACTGGGAGTGACTCCCTTCTCTTTTCGAATAGTGCCACAGTATCTTTAACATCCACCTTGCAGGCAGACGGGAGCTCGGATTAACATCTCATCCGAAGGATACAAGTCAAGAGGCCTTGATCTCTAGCTTGTGCTGTATTCACTGATCCTTGGAGCACGTGCCAATATGTCACGCAACTGGTCCAAACACCCTGGATAGAGAGAAGAGAAACCAGCAAGTTTCCTGTAGCAGATCACTATCAGGTGCCCAAATACAGGTCGGATGAAGACAGTATTGAGCTTGGCTCTAATGTGTCCCCACGTCAAAGAGCCGATTGACAGCAATCTCGGGACAAAAACACGAAGAACAGTCACTTCAAGCAGGTACGTAATTGTGGAAAAAAAAAATTCAGTGCTAATTTAGAAGCCACTTTTCTTTTAAAGAACCAGTTTCCAAATTAATAAATTAATTAGGAAATTTCCACAATTCTGTGCAATCTTAAATTTAGAGACAAAATGATCTTAGAGGGTAAGACTGGTAAAATATCAGACCCATTTTTGAAGTAAAGGATTGTTCTTTACAAGGGGCTGATCTCAGACCAACATCAATTGCACTGATTGATAGGAGATCAGAGAGGGGATGGAAGGAAAAACTGACATCATCCAACTCACTCTGCTCAAACTGTGTGTCCTGCCAGCTGATCACAGAGCAGCACTGACAGTAATCATGGAGAAATCCGCCGCACATACTGTCCTGGCCTCCAGCCTGAAGGAGGAAGGGCGGTGGCAAGTGGCCTGCAAGGGGAGAAAAATTATAGAAAAAAAGGGAAGGGAAAATAAAATAATAAAAAATAATAAGAGGTTTCACTTTGTACAATGAATAAATTATAAACCAAATCAAGCTCGCCAATCAGACTGGTGTGATGAGTTCCTAAACCACACAGTGGGGTTGAAAATACCCTCCAGCAGGAAACACGTGAGCACAAGTCCTCAGAATGTAAAGTGCATCTCGTCTGGTGGAACCCGGGTACATCACACTGACCCACAAGAACTGGGCTCTGACCTCAGATTGCCTCAGAGTGAGAGATGTCACGAGTTAGCATGACGTACATGGGGTTCCGTGCACAAGGTATACTTTTCACAAAATAGTTCCTCCTAAATTCTCTTTTGGATCCCCTAATCTCTATTTTATACTTTTGTCCCATGGTTACAGATTCTCCAACAAGTGGGAACAGGCTACTTATAATAAAATTACTCTGGTTGCTTAATATCCTTTCCACATGCCAGGGCTTGAACTCACACTGTTATGTTCCCAAGACTTACTGTCTTTATACCTACCACACGTGTTAACAGTGACCAAAGAGTGGCACCATCTCAGTGCAGGATCACACATAACTCACTCCTTTCATTATTTCAACAATAAAACACCCGAGCATACAAGCAATGGACCACAACATTCCCAGGTAGATGTCCTTCTGCTCTGTCCTCCTCACAATTGCCACAGAAATTAATTTCCAATTTACCAATACTAAAACCAAACTGATATTCAAACAGACATTTTTAAAACAAAACATTTTTTAAAAAATCCTTGTGAGCCATGGTATAACCCAAAAGCCATTGGGGCCACGGTGACTTGCAGAACAGACCCCCCACATCACAATGAATCCAGTAACCGCGCTCATTCAAATCAATCTGCTTGATTGATAAACATCAGAACCTAAACTCCACCCATCAGCCAACACACCTAGTCTGAGACCGCTACAGAGGATTGGCTCGATTTCTACGTTCCATTGGCACAAATGTCACTCTGAAAGCAATTCAGTTCCATGGAGAACCCCCTTTACAAGCCACAGGTTTAAGTCCTGTAATAATAATAGCAATCCTTGCATTTGTTAAAGCGCCTTATCACGTCTTCGAGACGTCTCAAAGCTCTTCAGAATATACTGTAAAGTGAACCGACTCTATATTTTGTGGGCGAAATGTGGCAGCCAATTGTGCACAGCAGTGTCGTAAATTGACGAATAGTCATGGATTGAGGGACAACATTTTTTTTTCAAGGGATTATTACCCTGGGAAAGCGATCTGCCAATCAACTGACAACCGGGATCCAATTTACTGCTCGGTAAACAGAGGTGTGGAGTAAGGAAACTTGTCCAACATTCCACCCTGTCCGGTTACAAAGAACAGAGAACACCTATGCGGTATTCCTTGTGATTTGGATTGAATTATTGAATCAGTCCCTGCTGTCGACAGATTTTGCCATTTCTATCTCATTGTTCACATTTTGGCATTGGAAGCACTGTACTTTCAATCTTTCTCTGCATATTCTCCACTGATCTGAACTGGAAACAAAAGAAAAATGCAATGGTTTGGAACCTTCTATGTTAATAGATAATAACGCTAATAATAATAATCCTTGCCTTTGATAGAGAGCTTTATCACGTCTTTGAGACATCTCAATCCGCTTCACAGAATACACTGTAAAGTGAATTAACTGTATATTTTGTGGGAGAAACAAAAGATACTCATAAAGGGTCTTGAAGAATCTGTGCAGTTTGAATAAAAAATGTACTGTTTGAACCGACGGAAAAGAAACATTATTAATAACTGAAAACCCTCCCGGTCTAAGTGGGCAGTACCTTTCTCTGCTTGTTCAATGATTTGTCTCACTGCTTTTTTCAGACTATTTGCCCGAAGCATAAGCTGTTCTCTTGGTTTGAAGAATTTCTGTGTGGAAGACCTCGCAGTGATGCTTTCCAATGCTGTCTCCTTTGTGTCGGACGACTCTTCATTGAATTCCTCCTCTTCCTCCACGATGGGTGGTGTAGAACGAGACTGTACAGCTGTAACCTGCGATTCATCTTTCAGGGCCTGCAGCAGCAAGTCCAACTTTTCATTCAATGCTGAACACTGACAAGAGAGGGCAAAACATGGATTGTATGTTGTAATAAGAAGTTACTAGCGTCAAATTATTTCATATTTCAATAATTAACTGTTAAATAATGTAGGAGTTGAACACAGTGTACTGAAGTTTCAGAGAACAGAAATTACAGCACAGAAGGAGACCATTCAAACCATTGAGCCAAAGCTGGCCCAACCTTATCCACTGAAGCTCTTGGAACATATTGGCCCATGGGTCACTTTTGGTGCATCAAAAATTGGCCTGCCGAACACACACACCAGTCCAGGCAGGTCCCTGACAAATCAATACCTTGTTTTCAGGAGCTACCAAGCCGTGATACCCATTGCACCACTAGAAATGAAGAAAAATTCAACAAAGAAAAATGGATTTGGTTGGCCACCACTGATCTACCTAAACATTTGAATTGACCTGGCATGTACAACTTTTTGGGGGTAGTGAATTCAATATATCCGCAACCCTTTCCCCAAACATATAAACATTCTTTGACAAACTTTTTCCAGAAGACTTTATAAAAGTGGACAATGATGTTAAGTGACAGATGGAAGGATGAAAAGATGATAGAGCACAGCTATATTAATAAGGCACTCCATCTTCCAGCTGCTCCCTCTCTGCCCTGTGGCACTTTTTCCACAAACTATAAAGCGTGTTGTCCAGCCTGTCAAGTTTCAGGAAAATGAGATTCATCGCAGATCATACTTTCAAGACTGGAAAATACTATTTGAATCTGTTTTGTATTTATCATATTAAATATTATTTTTCTTTTCTTAATTCGTTTTTATTTATACAGTAGAACCTCACTAATCCGGTCACTCAAATGACTGGGCAAAAGTGACCTGATTTGATTTGAGATGACCTGATTATCAGGTGATTCAGGTGACTGATGTAATGTTAAGAGCATTGGTAATGGGCGAGGGTGATGAACATTCAACAAACATACTCTGCAATCTTAGTAAAATAAAGGCATTGTCACACTTAAAACAAAAGCTGGTATGTATTCAGCCTTCCTTTTGGGAAAGCTTCCAACTTGTGTTCTGCCAATCACAGCTAACTGTCTATGACTTTTGCCCTCGCTGTTCTTGATTAAAGTCCACCCTCTCAAGTAAGGACAACTCCGGGCACTGCGGTGGCATGTTTTACATGTGTTTGTACCCCGTGTGTACTGGAGGAGGGTGCTGTAGCGGCCGCACTCAATGACTGTTGCCTGAATAGTGAGGTGCCCGGTTTACTGAAGCAGACAGACAGACTATCTTTTAACATAGACAATGAAAGAGACTGTAAAAATGTGCCCGCAATTGTAAGGTGGCTGGATTACTGAGGTGACCGCAAACCAGGTTTCTACTGTATATGTGACATTTACACATTGGCTGTTAAAATCAAAACAGGATCCTGAAGAAAACATTTTTTCTGTGAATTTTTCATAAGTCCATAAGTAATAACCCTTGCATCTGCTATAGCTTCTTATCACATTACAAAACCTCTCAAAGCTCTTTACAGAATTTACTGTAAAATGAAGCGATGTTGTAAAGTAAACACGGCAATCAATTTGCACCCAGCAATGTCCCACAAGGAGCCATCAGGTGAATAACCAATTTTATCTGGAGCATCGTTGTTCAGGAACCTAGGCCATTTGGAATGGCGAGGACATTGTTTGAATCTCATTTCGTGATCATGGGGAATAGGTCAACCTCTTCTTTTCAAAATAGTGCCATGGGATCTTTAATGTCCACCTGCACAGGCAAACAGGACCTTGGTTTTAACTTTTCGTCAGAAGGATGCCACTCTGACAATACAGCATGAACAAGGGTTAAACACCATTCGAGCTGACAGGATGCTGTTTGAATCTCATTTCATGATTGAGGAGAATAGGCCCACAACTACCTGCTACCTGCTAATTGATTCACTTACTCACAGTCCAGCTGGGAAGATTGTCACCAGTTTGAGAAACAGAAGGCATTGCTTCTCTGAGCAGTTAGCAGACTAATTTCAGCAGGTTAGAGAGTATTAAATGCTCTTCTTCGCACTTGCCGCAGGGATAATCTTTCCAGATTGCATGCCACGTTTACATGCATCAGCAGCTCCAATGGTCATGTGAGCAAGATGTAGCCTTCAAGGCTTAAAGGTGGTTTGACGAAGCTCCAACAGAAATACAGTCAAGCTGTGCGTCAAATAAAGTCAAGTCTGTAGCTTAAAGAAGATAAAAGACCAATGAATGTAAAGTCAGGACTCTGAACGCACAATGTAAGATGGCGCTCCAATAGAGTGCTGGGAGATGCCTGCATTGTCAGAGGTGTCGTCTTTCAGATAAGACACTAAACCAAGGGCCCAACTATTCAGGTGGATGTGAAAAATCCCATGGCACTACTTGATAAGAGAAAGGAAATTCTCCCAGTGACCTGGCCAACAATCCCACAGATAAAATTGGTCACTCGCAACATGGCTGTTTGAGGTGTAACATTCGCTGTGACGCTCAGCTGCAAATAGCCAGTCTTGAAATGAACAGTAGCCTTATGAAGTGCTTTGAGATGGCCGGTCAATGTGATAAGGGGTTTATCAAATGCAAGGATATATTATTATTACTTCATCACTTACTTCTACACACAACCTCCATATCACATTACAGCGTTAGCTCAATCTTTTCCCAAGTTGGCTTTAAAAGGTTTTAAGACGTAGGTAAAATAAAATTGGATTTTCAACTGTAAACATCCATTTCAACCAGAACCCATCTACAATAAGGAATATTCTACGTTTGTCCTTACTTTGTTGGCCAATGCTTCAGTCTCCTCTGTATTTTCATTGGTCTTTTCATAGGTCTTGCCTACTTTGGCAACAAAATCCTTCACAGTCTCACAAAGAATTCTGGTGGATAAAACATTGACATTAGTTGTATTAAGTTAGTTATACTTTCATCAGTCAGCATTATACCACCACTCACATCATTATACTTCTCACACTCACCATTACAGCACCACTCATGGAAAGAATTAATTATTACAGAAAAAAGGAATACAGAATTTAAAGGAACAATGAGTTGCTACAATCCATTATAACAGTAGCTATATTTAGTAGTTTATTTTAATGACACTAATGCGATTAAACCTCCTAACCCACTACCATCCTGCTTGCTCCATCCGCTCAGCGGGCTCCAGCCTACTTCATGTCCCCCGCCTCGCTCGCCCTACTATTGGCGGGCGGGCTTTCTGCCATTCTGCCCCCATCCTCTGGAACTCCATCCCTCAGTCCCTTCACCGTGCCCTATCCCTTGCCTCCTTCAAGACCCATCTCAAGACCCTCCTCATCTACCATGCTTTCGATCTCCCTGCTTCCCCCCCATCCTCCACACTCCCCCATTTAGAATGTCTAGTCTAAAAGGACAATTTTCATTGTATCGGCTGCTATAAAATATTCGCTTTTCTCCCAGGATCAAAGAAGCACCATGACATGCTCATCATAATATTTCACACACAAAAAAAAATCACTAGCTTCTAGCTTTTATATCTGTAACTCTCACTGGTTTATTTTCTGTGTTCAGCTGGAAGAACAATGAGTAATATATCCTGCTCTCATCTACTTCAGACACAAAAGTGCAAAGCAATAGTGAGATAAATACTGAGCTGCCAGATCAAGGGTTCAGCACTTCGGTTTATATAATCTAATTAGACTGAAGAAATATTGCTCTTCCTAATCTGCAGAAAGGCAAGCATTTCATTACAATTCTCACGCAGACACTGCATTCAGGGAAGACTCACTTGGCAGAAGATATGACAACCGAATGCTGATCAGAGTTGAGGATCTTGGCAAGATGAGCAGCAACAGAATCCTCATAGGCAGATATCTGAAACTGAGATAAAAAGAAGGTCAAAACACCCAAAATATCCACTGCTGCATTTCACATTTGCCCCTATTTATGCTTCTTGCTTATACTGTTACCGTACTGGGAAAGAGCTGCTCTCTTCTTCAGAAAAAAAATCATCTATTCACATCATCTCACATTTCGGTGCTCATCAGAACTTACATGTAAAGTGGGACTAGACAGTTTCTTACAAAGACAGCAAACAAGTTCACAAGAGAGGTTTGGCTGAAGAGAAGGCCCTTCTGCCTCACTGATCACATACTTTCTCCCCCCCCCCCCCCCCGCCCCACTGTGGTCTTCCCATTATAGCATCAAACCATTTATTCCCTGAGTTTAGTGCCCTGAGCCCCAGGTGTAAACCCTAACATCCAAAGAGATTCCAGAGATTGACTATGGGACTCTGACATATCTTTTTGAGATAGGTTAATTTGGACCTCAAAGTTGACAGGTGATCTTCTCCTTGGACTCCACTGTTGCCATTCAATTCTCTGTGAGGAGCTGGATTGAACGTCTAAGTTGTTCTACATTTCTCAACACTTACTTCAGATTCCTCAGTATCCTCTTCTGGGTTCACCGCCAGGGTCTGTTTTGATGGTATTTTTATTTCATACGTCATAATACTCCATCTGTTCGAAACAGATTTTTTTACTTCATTACCATCTGCTGAGCACAACTCACCGTGTAGACTGGTTAGCATCTAATAATAACTATTATTAATAATAAACGAATAGTCCTTGCATTTGATACGGCACCTTACCATATTGCCAAAGGATTTCAACATAAACAATTTTGGCATTTATAGAGTACCTTTCACACAGGGTAGCATCTCGGAGCGCTTAACAACGGCGGAGTTTGACATCGAACTGGGAGATAGGGGAGGTGACATAGGCATGGTCAAAGAGGAAAATCTTCAGGTGCGATCTGAAGGCAGCCTAGAGGGGCAAGGCGAAAGCGCTTTACGGGATTTTACTGTAAGGTGTAGTAACTGCGTATTTGTAAGTGGACTGTGTAACTGATTCATGAATATAAAAATAGGAAGACAAGAACATACAAATAGTTTGTTAAAAAGTGCTGACCTTATGATAATGTTTTAATGCACTGTTGTATTATCTTTTATCCAATTAACTTAAACAGTATTGATTTGTGAAACTTAAGATAATACAACAACAAGGTTACATTTGTATAGCGCCTTTCACGTCGGGAGGATGTCCCAGTAATAAGTAATAATAAGTAATAATAGCGCCTTATCACGTCTTTGAGATGTCCCAAAACGCTTACAGAATAGTAAAGTGAATTGACTGTATACTTTGTGGACAAAACACGGCAGCCAATTACACCAGCAGTGTCCCATAAACAGTCGTGGATTGAAGTGACCAAATTATTATTGTTATTGTACTTAACTGTTGAATAATAAAATTAATACTGTGTTTCAATTGACAGTAAAATAGTCTCAAAATAATGCACAAAGGAGATAATGAACCAGGAAAAGGCTGCCAGGCCTCTCCCTTCAAAAGTACCAGGGACAATTCGCAATAATGTGAACCCCCTGACTCATTATTTTTTGGCTTTATTTAATTACAATGTATATAAATAAACTTACCTAAAGAACTGACTTACATTACAGAACTGACAAGGTTAAATCTCTGGTTACAATATTGTTATTGAATGCTTGGTGACGACACATCATTACAGTCGTGTTTACCTGTCCAGCATTTTGGTGCTCGCTCGTTCCAATTTCTCCAGAATCTGAGGAAGTTGGGTGTCATCATCACAAGAGCCTCCCCAGCCGAGGACCCTGGCCAGGTCATTCCCTGTTCCTAGAGGTAGCACTCCAAGCTGGCACTGTAAGGTGGGAATATTTGGACATTACCAACATCAGAAACAATTTGTTCAGATAACCTAATACACTGAAACAGTTTTGCTAATCGGATATCTTTTTCTTATGCAGTGTCAGCATAGACTTGAGCTGCACTGGGAAAGCATCATAGGCTTTGTTTGTCAGATAAGATTTTAAACCAGGGGTCTCCAACCAGTCGATCACTGCTAGGTGGCGGTGTCTTGTAGCTCAGTGGTTAGAGCACTCGCCTCGCAAGCGAAAGACCTGGGTTTGATTCCCGGCAGGGCGGAACGATAGGCAGATTTCCTTACTCCACACGCCTCTGTTTATTTAGCAGTAAATAGGAACCCGGTTGTTAGTTGATTGGTGGATCGCTTTTCCAGGGGTAATAATTCCTTCAAATTCTTTTTTAAAAACGTTTTTAAAAAATTGGGCACTCAATCCCCGACTGCTTCTAGGACACTGCTGAGCACAATTGGCTGCCGTGTTTCGCCCACAAAATATACAGTCAGTTCAGTTTATAGTATATTCTGTTAAGCGCTTTGAAAAGTTTCAAAGACATGGTAAGGGGCTACAACAAATGCAAGGATTATTATTATTATGATGACCAAAAAAACAAGAGGAAGGAGCGATAGGCCCTCTGGGCAAGAGAATGTTGTACACAATCCATTGCATACAAATGGAGATTTCCATTCATAATGTGGAACTCTTTGCTTGGATTGGATACTTTTCAGCATAGTGATGGGCTAATGTGTCAGATATCCAGATGACCAAGAAAAAATCAGTTCAGTTTCCCTAACATTCCCTCACCTGCTTGTGTAGGTTTAGTTTGTCAATCTCCGACAAAACCCATCCAACACTGCCATCTCCTCCACAAACAAGAATCCGGAAATTGTCAAATTTTTGAAACAAACGCAATCTAAGAGAAAATTATTGATAATATAAAAGGTTCAATATTAGCCAATAATATGAAAGGGATCACAATTATATTTCATTACTAGAATGCTAAAATTCTTCAATTCTAGACCACTGGGCCCAAAGATTCTCATGGGAATCTTTAATAAGGAATCCAAGTAGCACAAATGAAGACACAATCTGAACTGTTAGGCCAAACCACAAGAACTTTGCTCCCACAGTCAATCAACCCATGAATTGATAGGAATTCCAGCAAGATTCCTTAAGGATTCCCTTTAAGAAATAACCCAAAATAGACCTTGCTATTTTATAGCCCTCCCTCCACCTCTGCAACGTATCTCTCCAGCCACTACCTCTGCTCAGTGAACTTCATGACATCTGCCTGATCCATCTCTTCCAACCATTCCACCTCCATTCTCTGGAACTCCATCCCGGAGTCCCTCTGTTTTGCACCTTCTCTATTTTAAGACTGGTTTTAAGACCCACCTTTTCAAGTGGACCTTGAGTCACCTCATCCCACCCTCCCACCCAGTTCGGGCTCCCAGTCAGCTGTGAGAAGAACTTTGAAATATTTTGTGTTCCCAACACGAATTGCGCTATATAAATGTAAATTGTTGTTTTTGCATTGCAAGACGATTGGGATGTTTCAGGATAAAATGCCTGCGCTGGAACAAATAAGTTGGTACCAGCATTTCCTAGCCTTGGTACTTGATCAGTCTCAAATCCATTATGAAGCAGTGGCTCGCATACAAATGACTTGCAAACACGAAACACAACAGTCTAGCTGTGGGAGCAAGTGGTCACACACAATAGTAGGTGTCCTGTACTGGCAAAACAAAGTGAATTTTAAATCAAAGTGGTGGGTAACTTGCCAACTTTCTAAGAGCCCAATGTGCACAATATTGATCGCTGACCTTAAGTGTTAGGACAGAATTTGCATTGGTCCAAAATTGCCACATCCCACCAGAACATGGTTTCTCACTGGCTTACACCAGGAATATCTACTCAGCACTTTTACAGGAAAATTAAATATTTTATCAGGTCTCAGTGATTATAGGAGCAGAAATGAAATTCTAAGGCAAATTATAAATGTCTGTCTCAAAAGTCTTACCCAAGATGTGGTCCTCCATTCATTAGGTCAAAAACCTGAGCAGGATTTAGCAGCTGTTTGAACCTTCGAAGAAACTTCACCCCCTGATTGTCTCCGCTCTTAGAGTTGACAAACACTAAAAGTGGGCTGGCACAGGAGGGTGGGCAGGTAGCCTTCCAGAAACCTGAATATAAGCAGTGAATGGACATACAAAATACACCTTATCATAAGTGCAACATCCATCCGTTTAGAACATACAACATTATAACAATAATAATAATCCTCACATTTAATATAGCACCTAAAGTGGAACTTTGTGTTCAACTATTGTGACAAAGTCTCATGGGGGGAGGGGGTGCGAAGGCTCACACCCATGCATTAGTCAATGTCTTTAGCTCTCAACAGGTCAGGATTTTCAATCAACACATCATAATTTTCGTCGCTATAAATTCTGTTTCCATCACAACTGGAAGCAGAGCAACTAGTGGGATAAAGTTTAATGTCAAACTTGTTGCAGGAATCAAATTTAATGGAGAATAAATAACCGGCAAATGATTACAAAGCTGTTATCTACTATAAAGTGTACCCTAAGCAGTTTGTAATAATCCTGAGATCAAGCTTCAACATTGAAATTGCCTCTTGATTGCTGCTCATGGTAAATATCGGTTCAGTTTTACGTGAATGTTTCTAGGTGGAATTTGGATCACCAGTGGCTGCTGTAAGTGGATTGAATGTACCCATTTGTTCTATGTCCTTGATGCACAGGGGCTCTGGCTATAAACAAGAGGTTTACACATATAGCAATACCATCTCATTACTGCACGTTTACTAAAGAAACAATCAGCAGTTGAGTCATGCAAAATTCACAACATGTTTTAAACTTCACCCTACAATCCATAATTAATAAACTGTAGCAACAAGCACATGCTCAATCCTCCAAATAGCCAGTTTTAGTTTAATATTAACGAACAAAAATATCTTCATTAAACCAAAAATTAGGTGTTTTGCTGCAATTTAACATCAATAGATTGTAAATCACGGCAGATATTTGTACATTTGATATTTTTATTCTGCCTTGGGTTGATAGCTTGTGACAAATATGATTTGTTTCGGGGTACTCATTTCTATTAAATTAGGTTTAGGATATCTTAAATCTTAGCCAATGTACGTCAATCTTTCCCTGAGTGCCACTACCAGGCATTTATATTTAAGGCTCCTCTTCCGACTACACCTCTCTCTCTCTCCCTCCCCCATCCCTTCTTCTCCGCCAGTCATACCCCCACCAACCACCTCCAGAGAACATGTCTCTTCAATTCCAACTAACTTTTGAAGCATCAAACAAATCAATTGTTGCATAATATCTATATTCATGAGCAAGGAAAAATAATTTTGTGGTACTCTCTAAGCAATGCTGGGTACAGGCAAATTAGGACTCTTCAGTCTTGAGAAAAGTTGACTTTCTCAAGATAATTGACTCAGAAGGTTGCCAGGAAAGGTGTTTGAAGCTGGACCGACCCTGGACTGATTTAAAAACAGCTTGATGCTGTCATGGGGAAGCATGGGATCGGATGGGCCAAAGAGTCTGCTTCATCCATCCAATTTTGTGATCTAGAGGCTTGCCACTTGTCCCCAAATAGTTTTGTCCCAATCCCAGTAACAGGTCCTATCAGCCATAGTAACTCACCATCAGAATCAATGCTGTTCAGTGCAGTGGGAGGAATGATGGACACTTTACATTGGCCTAGAGGACACTTTCGAGGAAACGGGTCCTTACAGGCGGTGTGCACCTTAAAAAGAGTTATAAGTTTTGACAATGAAACAAAGATTGCAAAGATGAGAACAACAACAACAACAACAAGATTCCATTTATAGAGCGCCTTTCACGTCAGGAGGACGTCCCAAGGCGCTGCACAGTTGGGTCATGACCCGAGCAGGGGGGAAATGGTCAGGGTGAGGGGAGGGAAGGGAGGGAGAGAGGAGGGGGGAAATGGTCAGGGTGAGGGGAGGGAAGGGAGGGAGCGAGGAGGAGGAAGAGAGTCGAGAGGGGAGCTGAAGGCACGGTCAAAGAGAAAGGTTTTGAGACCGGCCTTGAAGGAGGAAAGGGAGGAAGCAAGGCGAAGGCACTGGGGATGGAGTTCCAGAGCCTGGGGGCTGAGAGGCTGAAGGCCCGACCACCGATGGTAGGGCGGTTGGGGCGGGGGACGTGGAGCAGACCGGAGCCAGAGGAACGGAGGGTACGGGCAGGTAGGTAGGTAGAACAGGAACAAATTCAAAACATATTTAGATGCTTTAAAATGTACAGATAAAAGACTCAGAGATTAAATTCTCCTTGTTTTTAAGTGTAGTGACATCGACATGCAGAACACACTGATTGCAAAGAATATGGAAATGGTTATGTTGTGATCTGTTAACACTGATTGTGCTAATTCACACATTTATTGAAATTAACAATCTTATGATGGCTGTTACAGTCCTGTCTTTTTTTTGAAATTGCCATGGTTTAGACCCCAGTGGGCACTCACGTAGCAGCGAGAATTATTTCTCATCTATAATCCTGGAGATAAGACATGTGTGAGCAATTGTAAAATGATTACCTCCATCTTTTGCTGCTTGTGTTGATCGCAACAGTGATAGAATACTGCAGAATCCTGGGTGTATACTAAACAAAGGCTGCAGTGCAAGTTTTGAAAACTGGAAATCAAATGCTTGCTGAATGATTTTCCCTCTGCACAAGTCAACACTCATCCTTGAAGCTCAACTGCTGCATATGTTTAAAGTTCTAGATCTTACCATGGCTTTACACCAGAGACATCTCCAGTCCTGTAAGCGGAGGACACTGCCACATGTCTTGTCACACACAGAGCATTTGGCACTAACAGGTAGGTTCCCTTCCAACCACTGATGAGGCATTGCAATCTATAACGACAAGAACAAAACATTAGTGCTCTGTCCCATTCGGCTTAAGTTCAAAAAGTAGTTGGTGGGCTGTAGAATGTTCTGCCAAATAAGGTGGCAGAGGCAGAATCAATTGTGGGTTTTCAAGTGGGGTGTAAATAGGTATTTGAAAGATAGAGGTTTGAAGGGGTATGGGGATAAAGCAGGGAATTGGCATTAAACTTTGCCAAGACTCGATGGGCTAAATGGCCTCCTTCTGTGCTGAGAATTTCTATGATTCTATGATGAATTTGCTGAGTGTTTCCATGTTCTCTTTGGCATTAGAAAGATCCCATCTACTGCTTTTAGCTGCAGCCATATAGCCCATGTCGGTGAGTTCATCATCTGTATTTCTAATAATCCTTGCATTTGATATAGCACCGATCACATCATCCAAAAGTCTCAAAGCACTTTATGAAATTTACTATAACGTAAGGACAAACACCACTTTACAAACAGCCTTAAAGTGAATGATCAATTTTATCTGAAGGATTGGTTGGCCAGGACCCTGGAAAAAATAGTGCCATGAGATCCTTAATGTCCACCTAAATAGGCAGACAGGACCTTGGTTAATGGCATGTCTGACAACGTGGTGCTCCCTCAGCACTGCACTGAAGTGTCATCTTAGAGGCAGATGATAACCTGAAAATCCCAATCTGAACCCACTATCTGATCCAGAAATGAGAATGCTGCCAACTTCACCAAGCTGACACCTATGTTTCCTGAGTTAGCAGGTGAAGGAGCCAGGCCAATAATGGAGAGCGATATCAATGTTGAAAGAGCAGGACAAGATTAAGTCGTAATTTTGCTGTGTAACACTGCATTGAACGTAAGAATGCACTGAACAAGGACAAGCAATAAATGCTCCTTTCCAAGCCCCTTTGCAGCATCTTTTGTAAAAAATTTAAAAGCGAACCTTTTTCATGAAACACTGTTTGGAAAAAAATGTGTATAATTTGTTTCTATGCACGCCACACATCACCAAGATAGATTACACTGCAAAGCACCAGTGTCAGACTCATGTCACTGATAAAAATGATGCATTGCTAACCTCTCTTTTTTCCAATAAAAAAAGACTCTCTCATGAAGTCAGAGCTTCTTTTATATTCTGGGAGAGATTCCACCTTGACATTTTACAGGTGTATTGAATACTCATTCACAGAATAAATCTCCCATTTCTAAACTGACAGGTTGATCAAAGGCTCCTTAAAACCAGATGTTAGTTAGGAAATCAATGTCTCATCATTGTGTGAGTGAAGGCAATTTGTGTGCCCACACATAACTGCAACAAACAACTCCAAAAAGGTCAGGTAAAAGAGCAGATCAATTAGATACTTAAAAACACACATGAGATTACCTACAAATTAAAAAAATTATTGCCAAATGCCGCGACATGCTTGAATGATGTAACAATTACATCCAAAAGAGAACCGTCAATAGAATATAAGCTCTAACTATAGTACCTTGCCTATAAAATACATAGCCAATATGCTCCACAGTAAATCCTGGGAAGTGCAATGAGGCATCTCAAAAACTTGTTAAGGCACTATATAACATACAAAAATTATTATTGTTATATCAGCAATTTCTCATTTTTGCTCCCTAACTAACTGTTTAACAAATAAAATATCGTTGTAAATCTGTGAATGCTGTAATGGCTATATTTTTCATATAGGTGCTATTGAGAAGGTCCATTTATACAATAAAATAATAATAATGCTTGCATTTGATAAATAATGAAGCACTTTGAGATGTCTCGAAGACATGATAAGGCGCTATATCAAATGTAAGGATTATTATTATTATATCATCCAACGGCTCAAAGTGTTTCACAAGATTTGCTCTAAATTGCAATGTGTGTCCTTTCAAAAAAGCAGAAGGGTTATCAATCAGAACAATCCTGCAGATGTTCACTAGAACGTGCTCCAACAAGTTAATAATAATAATAATCCTTGCATTTGATATAGCGCTTTTCACGTCTTCTAGACGTCTCAAAGCGCTTCACAGAATATACTGTAAAGTGAATTAACTGTATATTTGTGGGCGAAACGCAGCAGCCAAGATCGCACGGCAGTGTCCCACAAACAGTCGTGGATTGAAAATGACCAATTTTTTTTGTTGTTTTGGAGGGATTATTATTAGGCTCTGTGTGGAGTAAGGAAACTTGCCCAAGGTTTCACCCTGCCTGCAATTTAACTCAGGTGTCTCGCTTGCAAGGCGAGTGCTCTAACCACTGAGCTACATGACTCCCAGTTAACAACAGCTTCCAAATAAACTGCTAGGCAATTATAGCTGGAAAATAATAGTTTTTCATTTTTAACCAACTCCCCTACTGTATGAGTCAAAATATTCAACCAATGGACAAAAAACCTTAAATGGAATCCATAAGCAAGTGTACCTCTGGTCAGATAACAGTAATCTTTTGTTATCAACTCAAGAATTTTTTTTAGCATTTGTACCTACCCCATCTTCATCCTCAATGATATCTTTTCCTATTGAAGCCAGGGTTGTCCACTTGCAATTATTAATTGCTCTCACAGCACATCGTTTATGGGCTTTGAATTTACAAACTGCAAATGAAAGGAAATTAGTTAAATCAGAAGAAAAAATAAACTACCACAAGTACCATTTCTATGGTGCTTTCCATGTAGGAAAATGTCTCAAAGTGTTTCACAGAGATAATAGCATAGGAACCCGAGCAAGATGGGAGATTAAAGCGCTCCGGGACTCTACCCCGCGTGACAGGCGCTATATAAATGCAAGTTGTTGTTGTTGTTGAGAACCTGGAAAGTTGGCAACCCTACTTCCATTGTGTATGCATCCTGCAAGCCATGTAGAGCAAGCCATCAGGCTTCCCATGTGTAGGCCAGATTCTCACGTCTAAAAACGACTGAATTCCAAGCCAATAGGCTGCAACTAACACGCGGTGCACCGGAAGTGATGTCGTCAGCAACATGATAACTGGGAAGTGATGACAAAAAGCCGATGACCTGGGAGTCAATCATTGTTTAGTCCGCGGGAAGCTGGCCGGCATTTTGAAGCAAACCCCGGTCGTTTTTTTGTATGCATTTTGGATTTTTCGCTACTTAAAAGAACTTACAGAAAATTAGCTGCAAAACTAACACTGTTTTTAAGATTTTGCCAAATGCTGGATGTTCTAAAATGTTAATAATAATAATAATAATCCTTGCATTTGATATACGCTTTTCACGTTGGGAGGACGTCCCAAAGCGCTTCACAGAACACACTGTAAAGTGAATTGACTGTATATTTGTGGGCGAACGCGGCAGCCAATTGCGCACAGCAATGTCCCACAAACAGTCGTAGATTGAAATTGACCAATTTATTATTGTTTTTGGTTTTGGAGGGATTATTATTAGGTGTGTGGAGTAAGGAAACTTGACCAAGGTTTCGCCCTCTGCCTGGAATTGAACTCACGTCTCTCGCTTGCAAAGCGAGTGCTCTAACCACTGAGCTACAGGACTCCACAAAGGTAAATCTACATCCAAGTGGAATTTCTGCTCAAAAGTTTGTAATCCTGCACTTTTAAAATCAATAACCACCCCATCAGGGACTTTAAATAAATTACTTCAAGTCCATGATAGTGCAAACTGTACTGGAAGACTGCATCAAAGCGGCTATTCCTCACTCGAGGTTTTATTTTAAAACAATGTCCCCAAATAGCCACGAGATGGAGCACTTCACAACAAAGCAGGAATGGTACACCTGATGTTGCTGAAAGTGATTGGAAATCAGCAGTGAGTGATCACTGATCGGGAGCAAGAAACAGGGTTGGTTTATTCAGTGCTCCAAATCACATTTTGTGGGAGCTGTGGTGTTACTTCTTCATAGTATAAACCTTTCGAAATTAACAATTAGAGTTGCATTAAGTTAGACATGTTTGAAATTGCCCCACTGGCATTATCTGGGTTGAATTTTCACAATCTCTTTTGATAAGAAATGTGCGATTGTCACTTTATCTTTGATCAGACGAGTGTCTGACACGTGCAGAAACCTATCATCATGCTTAGAAACATCTGAACCAGACTGCGAGTTCGACATATTCTACCTATACATAGAAGTTTCTCTGTGTCTGGAATAGAATGTGCACCATCTCCCTGGAGTGGCATATCCTGCTCACCTAATTCCACAGACTATTATGCAGAGGCTGGTATGAGCCAAAGGTCCCCAGTGTGTGCACTGCTGTATTTCCCAGCTAACACTGCATAGTTTGTTATTGAGAGCATTGTCTGGCAATTCCCATCGCTTGTCCAGAAATTAAAGGGCTTAATGCGCAGCATAAAGCGGCATAAGGTTCAGACACCATGGAGTACGTTTTGAACGTCCGTTTGCTGAAAACCTTTTGTGTGCACTACTTCTGGTATTCTAATACAATAGCCTTCTCGTTGTACCTGGTGTACATCACAACGTGTTATGACAAGATTTTATTTCCAGAACTGCAAGCTGTACACAGCCAGCAGCTATTCTATGACTATTAAACACAAGTGTAAGCAAAGACAGCAGCTACAAACTTCAAAATTGACATGGTTATTTTTAATTTAATTGCCAGAGTAGGTAATAATTCATGAGGGCAACATAAAGGAAGAAATGTCAGAATGGCCGTGTATTATGTAAATATCTCCACGAGACTGACTTCAAATAAATTCCCAGGTGAAGGAGTCATAAGAAAATTCAATCAATGGAAAAGTAGAGACAGTTATGTTATCACATGTTAGCACTGAATCACTATCAATCTACAGGACGAGGTTTTGAACAAAAATAACAATGAGTTTGTTCAATAAGTTTGTTTGTGCTTCTCAATAATTCTTGTATTTGATATAGCGCCTTATCACGTTGTTGATACGTCTCAAAGTGCTTCACAGAATATACTGCAAAGTGAATTGACTGACTATTTTGTGGGCGAAACCCGGCAGCCGATTACACACAGGAGTGTCCCATAAACAGTCGTAGATTGAATGACCAAATTATTATTTTTTTTAATGGATTATTTCCCTGGAAAAGCGATCAGCCAATCGACTAACAACCAGTTCCTACTTACTGCTAGGTAAACAGAGGCATGTGGAATAAATAAACTTGCCTAAGGTTTTGCTCTGCTCACGGAATCAAAACCAGGTCCTCTCGCTTGCGAGGCGAGTGCACTAACCAATACACCAAACAAAATCAGATCTAATTTATTTTTAAGAGATTACTTTATCATTTGGATGTTATATCAATGGAAATGTGATTTGAATTCTCAGCTACAATACACAAAGATACCTGGATTTTGGTTCAATTTGGTTGAATTGGGCAGAATTATTACCCCAGGAAAAGCAATCCGCCAACAGGGTTCCTACTTACTACTAGGTAAATAGAGGCACGTCGAGTAAGAAAAATTGCCTAACATTTCACCCTGCTGGGAATTGAACCCGGGTTTCTCACTTGCGAGGAGAGTGTTCTAACCACTGAGCTATAGGACTCCACGAAAGTGCAGAGATTACATAGTCTGTCAGTACAGATCTCATACGGTCCAGTTTATAGAGTTCAGCTGTCTCAGTGAAAAACGTTAAACATAACAATAACAAATTATTCTGAAGTGAAGTGTCACAACTGTGACATAGATTGATATACGAGCTTTGGTAACAGAACATTTCTCCACTGGTATCATAAATTATAATACTGTCTGTTCTGTGGTACTGAAATTAATGAATGTGGTTTCTTCCATATCTATCAGCAGTAGATCCCCATTAGCACATTCTCCAGATTAGAAGAAAAAACATTTCTTGGTTCATACTGGGATTCTCACCTTATTTCCATTGCTAATTCTATCTTATCTCTCCTCCGAGACTGCTCAGAAGACATTTGATTTGACATTCAATTATCTACTTCCAAAGCTTTTTGATAATTGTGTGCTGAGTTCCAGTCAATTCTGTTGTACAATTCCTCCATTACTATTGTATGTAGCTTGAGGCTGATCAAACAAACAGCATGGTTTATGTTGAAAGTTAACCAAATGCTAAGTCCACCCTTGGCCAGTTGGTAAATATCTCAGGTGCACCAACACACCCTGGTTACACTTGATGCCAGAAACTAAACCAACTTTAAAGGAGTTATTTAATGAGAGTCTGTTACAGTCTCTATGCACTTTGACAACTGTATTTACAACTTGGTTGTCTTTGTGAGTGCGAAGCTTTTCAGATAACTGCTCCTTTTGGTGAAACAACCAGACTTTTCCCTTCTTTTGGGCCTATTGAAAATACTGAGGAACACAGTTATTTTTTGGGGGGTCGGGGGTGGGGAACGTATTCTCCTAATAATTCATGGCGGAAAAATAAAGAGGCCAGAGAATAGCACTAATATGAGTCATCCCTCATCATCAGTTCAATGCACACAGTATGAGGGAATTAATTTAAAAGCAGTGATAAGATACCAGGAATTTCACACTCCCTTAGAACAAACAGAATATCTCACCGCTGCCAGCAGCAAGACTTGTGACAGAAATCTTATCATGGCTCACCTCTGCACACAGGGCTTGTGGTTCCACATCCACTCAGAATAAGAGCAAAACCACATTCAAAGGGGAAATTGCTAAATTTTGAAGGGGATCCAATATAAAATGGGACTGGGAATGAGGAGGTAAAAAAGATTTGAATGGAAAGATCCATTAGAGGAGCTGACATCAGTATAGGTGGGCCAAATAACTTCCTTTTGTCCTGCTATTTTTGCAATTCTTCTTGTCAAGGGACCTGTTACCTACTTTTACCTTAGTGACACATTCTTAGTATTTAGCTTGCATTTCCCAAGAGTTAATAACAAGCTGCAGCAATTGTAGGTGAATTCCAGATTCCTTACCTTCACATGAGAGTCCATGGGAGGTGACACCTGAAAGACTTTCTCGGCACACATTGCAAAAGGTAGGTCGGGCATGGGAGCAGGCATACCAGTTATGCATCCCTGAGAAGTGCTCCACATTAAACTGTGCGGTCTAGTGAGGGAGAAACAAACCAGACATTTGCTATTACACATCGTTCAAAGTCACAGATCGACAAAATTTACACTTTATAACTTAAAAGTTCAAAACATGCTAAATGAAATCTTTACTGTATTCATATCCAGCAACAATCAGGTCATGGGTTTATTTATTCTGGCTAGTTTTCAGTGCTAGATTTCCATATTTAATCAGGCAGCGACATTTCATGCTGGATGTTTATTAAGTTTCTAATGTTTGAATATAATCCTTGTGACATAAAACCAACCAAACATGTGTTTAATGCTTCCCATTCCCAAGCAAATTAACTCTTCGTTAAACCTAGCACAATTTACTCTCCACTAGACTGACAAACACTGCCAACAAATTGTTGATGATGTATTGACAAATTCTCTCAATTCACTTTTTCATTCATACTGTATTAACAGTCCTCAAGAGTTGGACATTTACCTCATAGTGTTCTCTGCTTTGTACAGACTTTAGTGAAGTGATCCAGTCTTCCATTTCTTTCCTGTTCTCAGCACAGAGAATCAATCGTCTAAATGGTGTTATTACCTGAAACACATTCCTAGGATCAGCAAATCAATCCAATAAAAAATACACAAACCTTGAAAATATAAACAGTCTCATGGGTTATTCAGCAAGCCAGTGCTCATATGCGTTTGCTGCTAAGTGACGAGGAATCAATATTTAACAAGCAATGACAAAGGCGGAGTCCACAGCAATTAATCTGGGATACGGCAACAGTGACGATAAGTACCGCCCATTGAATAATAAACTGGTAATCGTCATCAACAAAACCTCCCCCACCAATTCACTCACTGTCACAGTAGATGCGTAATAACATCTTGTTTGGCAAATTGTGACCCACCAGGACATAAGGCCGTACAGGGTATTCTGTGAAACTTACACCTTGAGATTTGACACAGATATATCATGTGGCGAGGAATATTAAAGTGTATTTTTCTACCAGGTGCAGAATGATACTGCACATGATACTATACCCCCAATCGGATTATTTAAAAGCTAACAAAGAGCTTTAGAACACTTTGCGCTGTTGAATTCCCTTCCCTTGTACTTCAAGCTCTGAGAAAATACTGAGGATACTTTCCTATTACCGCAGGTTTATTCTGACTTTTATGTCCAAGATGGAATTATGGTCAGCCTCATGAACAATTCTTTTCAGAAGAGTTTTATTAGGTATTGAAAAGGAAATCCAAACCTATAAAATATACGTCTGGCAATAAGATACAAACCACAGAAAGGATCACAGTAATTTGCTAATGTCATAGCACTAACAGAGCTTAACACTTTGAGTGCCAGAAAAAGAGTTCACCAGTCTGGCCACAATCTCTACATAATGAAACCACTGATTTTACTTATTTATGACTCTTGTTTCCTGATTTGAAAGGCGCTATACAAATGTAATTTGCTGTTGTTGTTTATTACTGATGCTGGTTTGAACCACAGCTAGTAGCCCTCTGGCAGATTTGATCATCAGAGGCTGTAAAACACAGTTGATGAAAGTGACGAAGGAAGTAAAGTAACATAGATAATATTCACACTGAGCTTGAAGGTTTACAGCATCTCGTGATTCATATTACAGTACACTGTTCTTGTGGTAGCATAACAGTTGAAAGTGTACACGGGAACATATATTGGGGTCTAATGTACTTCACAGATTTCCGAACAAGGAAGGGGCATTAATCAAATTTCTAATGCAACGAATGTCCTGAAGAATGCATTTAACATGTGAGGTTTTATGAATTCAATAAGATTTTAATAATAAATCCATTAAGAAACAGTGCAAATTAAAAAGAAATTGCATCTTTAAACATCTCAAACCACTTCATAGGTAACTATTGCTCTGGGACACTACCCCGCATAAAGGGCACTATATAAGTTGTTGTTGTATTGTAAAGTGCAGTGATGTTTTTCATAGGCAAACACATAAATCATGTTAGCCAGAAAGGTCTAAGAAACAGAAGTGAGGTGTTGACCAATTAATCCGGAATATTGTTGGCTAGCACACCAAAACAGACTCCCTCCTCTTATCAAGGTTCAGTCCAGCTGTTCAGATGGATGTTAACAATCCCAAGATGCTATTCATATAAACGCAGGAACAGAAGGAGATCAATCAGCCCAGCAATTCTGTTCCATCAGTTTATTAGATTGTGTCAGATTTTTTAATCCCAATGCTCCACTCTTTATCCGTAGCCCTTAATACCTCTACTATCTAGTATCTAATACGTCTACGACAACAACAACTTACATTTATATAGCGCCCTCCATGCTGGGCGGCGTCTCAGAGCGCTTACCAAGTAAGCACTCTGGGTGCTACCTTGCTTGAGAGGCCTGATATAAATGCAAGTTGTTGCTGTTATCTCTCCCTCTCTTTAAACATCCCTTTCATTCCACCTCTAATGCTTTCTGGGGCAGATCATTCCACATCTTCAGAAACCTGTATGTGAAGGAATTCATAAACTAGCTGTAACATTTGCTTAGAAAATACACAGTCATTGCACTTTCCAGTAAATCCCAGAAAGCACTTTGATATGTCCTCCTGACGTGAAAGGTGCTACATCCAATGCCATCATTATTATTATAATAACTACTAGCTTATTTCTAATTTTAAGGCTATTCAAAAAGAGAAGGGTGTTTGTCCTGATGTCATAACTCTTGTTGGCTTGAATTTAATCATCCTACAAACTCTGAATTTGATTCCATTATAAAAAAAAGCCCCAGGATTTTCCCACTTCCAAGTCAATCTTCAACAGCTTTCTTCTAGTTTTTTTATTAACATAAGAATTTGCTAGGCAAAAGAAGACTAAGGTCCATCTAGTTCACCTTCCACCATCCTGGCAGTTGCTTGACATGTCGTGTCCCAAACTGTATCCTGAGATATTATTTTCTAGCAGAAATCTACCTAATTTGTTCTTGAAACATACAACATTTTCTGCTTCCAATGTCTCGCTAGGGAGCCTGTTCCATAAATTTACTAGTCGCTCACGGGAGTAGTGTTTCCGCAGATTTGTTCTGAATTTAGCCCCCTTCAATCCAGGCCGATTGGTTGATTGATTGATTAATTGTTCAGTTGCTTTTCTCTCCTAGTCCAAGTTTAACCCTATAGATCCCAATAATGTTTGCACATGGAGGCCAATAGCAGTGGATAAATCTTATGAATGCAAACTAGAAAATCTGGAAAAGGACCTTATCCCTTGCCAGAAAGGACGGATGAAACCCAATAAAAAAAAATCTGCATGGCTCTGCGCCCATCGGATACATAGTTGGCTCTTTAAGAAACACATCTTTGAATTATAGGTTTGCTGAAATATGTGGGAAGACATATCAAAGGTTTTATAAACCTTCCCTTCTGAAGTACTGAAAGTAACAAGAAACATTGAGGTTGAAAGAGTCCAGCACACCTTGGCTGTGAGCAGAGCGAGTGACAGAGGGCATCATGCCGTGACTGCAATTGGCTCCCAATTCATAAGATGAGGCAGTTCCTCAATGTATCCTAATAAAACAAGATTGTTTTGTAGAGAGGTGCACTTCCCTGATTGTTCAGCAGATACAATTTCTTTCCTGCACAAAGGAAGCTTTTTGACCCATTGTGTTTGTGCCACATATGTCGAAGAATCCGAGGCCAAAGGCCCACCTAGGTTACTGACTTTCTCAGTGTGTTTAATGGAGACCACTCAATTCGATCTGAGGTCACAGTAGAGGCTGAAGTGTTTATGGAATGCAGAAAAGAAATAATAAATTGCCTTTCACATAGGAGAACTATGTTCCTTTGACAACTATGTCCCTAATCTCTGTCCCTCTACTGCTCAGCTTCGCCACATTTCTCTCCTTAAATCCTGTCTAAAAAACTACTTTTTACCCTGGCTTACTGTTTGTCATCTTCCTCTTCTCACCGTATTCGGCATCTGACCCTGACCTTGTGAGGCACTCCCAGACTGTTTCATACGTGAAGAGAGCTTTATAAATGCAAGTTGTAGAGAACATCTCAAAACACTTTGCAAAGAAGGGGTAGGAATCACAGGGACCAAAATAAGTATCTGAGGAAAATCCTGAGAAGCTTCTTTTGTCTGAACTCAATGATATAGACCACTGTGACAGTGGAGTCCAAATACAAATGGAGCAGGGTGCAACTGATGTTCAGTAGCAATCACTCAGTTTCCTTACAGAAGAGAATCCATCAGTTTGTGTGATCAGAGAACTTAGTGGTAACTGCTGAATATTGAGGCTCTTCAGTCGAGTCCTGATCCACATCCTTCAGGTTTAGTATTCATTTGTTGGAGCTGTGCCTCATTGCCATTGTGCGTCATTGAGAATTTATCTAGTGAGTTTTACTGAGCAGGCTTTTACAATATTGATGCTTTTTCTATGCTATCAGTAAATTCTTAAATGTTACCATTTAGTTTTGGGTAGTGCACCATCAACAACGATCAATAAACCTATTGGCAAACAGAGGATAACTCTCATTGAGGTATAAATTTAGGGTCTAGATTTACTCTAATAATGTAGCATTAAGAGCAAATTCTTTGTTTTGGTAAATTCTTAAATACAGTTTTAATTTTGATGCTGGTTTACTGTAAGTTTCCCCCCCAGCTCCACCATCCACAAAATCCAGCTGATCCCAAACTCTGCCCCTGCATACTCACCCGTACTAAACTCTGTACCCCCATCACACCAGTTCTAGCCAGGCTCCACTGGCTCCCTATCGCTGAATGGATCAATTTCAAGATCTTCACACTGGTTTTCAAATCCCTTCATGCCCTGACACCTCCCTACCTCTCCAACCTGCTTACCCGTGGAGTCTTGTAGCTCAGTGGTTAGAGCACTCGCTTTGCAAGCGAGAGACCTGAGTTCAATTCCAGGCAGAGGGCTAAACCTTGGGCAAGTTTCCTTACTCCACAAGGAGCCTAATAATAATCCCTCCCAAAAAAATCAATAATAAAAATTGGTCATTTTCAATCCATGACTGTTTGTGGGACATTGCTGTGCGCAATTAGCTGCCGCGTTCGCCCACAAATATACAGTCAATTCACTTTACAGTATATTCTGTGAAGCGCTTTGGGACGTCCTCCCGACGTGAAAAGCGCTATATCAAATGCAAGGATTATTATTATTATTACCCGCCACCCCACTACCCGCTGGCTCCACTAGACTGAGTCCGGCCTCTTGCACGTCCCTCGTGCCCTCCGTTCCACCATCGGTGGCTGTGCTTTCAGCCACTACTCCCCGAAACCTTGGAACACTCTTCCTCTATCGTTCTGCCTAGTTCCTTCCTTCTCTATCTTCAGATTGCCCTGAAGACCATCCTTCTCCCTCGGCTCGGCATTGTGCTCAGCCATTCTCAAGCACTCTGGGATGCTACCGTGTGTGAGGGGCTCGATATAAACCCAAGTTGTTGTTGTAAGTTTTTTTTAAGAACTGCTGAAAACCAATATAAAATTTAAGACTGAAGCAGCACTTTGGCAATTTCTGGGCACTCTAAATTACTACATAAATAGAGTAAATCTAGATCCAGATGGAATTTCTCCTCAATT